TAGGATCTAAATCCAATTACCAATAAAATCAAACAAACATAACTAATTAAAATTTTCTGGTGATCTTTGAAGTTGTCTAATGTTATGGTGCAAAATGAAAAGAAAATATTTTTTTATGATAGTTTTAGTAGAAATTCACAAAATTGTACAATTTTTGTGAGAATTGCTATTGTTGAGCTTAATTTGCATGATCTTTTACGTACACACGCAGTATAAATTACCATTTTTTATTTTTTAAGCTAGAACATTTAAAAATCAATAAAATCAAATTACTAGCTGACTCAAAGTAGATTTTTGGCGGCTAGAACATCTCTCAAATGTCTTGCTTGAAATTTAATCGCTTATAAACCCTGAGTTATATGATATTGTCTATGTGAAAATGCGATGGTCGAGAAAATGTGTGCCAAAAATGGCACGAGATAGTATTAGGTGTAGAGAAAATGTGAGTTACAACTCATAAATTTTGTGAATTTACCGTTGAGTTTTCACCACATCATTTGTGTTTGTTTTGATTTTTAAGCTGGAAAGGATAACAATCAATAAATAACGTTAGCAAGACTCATATCAGCTTTTCTAGGGCTAAAACATCTTCCAAATGTCTAACGTGAATTTTAGTAACTTGCAGTGCAACAAAACTGACAAGAAACCATTTTTAAGAAGACTTTTTAGAACTTTGCTAAACCAATTGATAACCGTGAGTTACAACTCATGTAGTTTTATGTGAAACACAAAATACATATACATTGCACATTTGTTTTCACTAGGAAATAAAAAAGGATTGGGATCTTGGTTATGGCAGTTATTTACAACTTTGCAAACATTAAAAATCACGAGTTACTCACAATTATTGTGAAAATATAAAATATGTATTTGTTGCATGGCTTTTGCACAGGGAAATAGAGAAAGGGTAAGAATCTTGGTTTTCTTTTTTAGATCTTCGGTGGTACGGAGAAAAGGATAAGAGGGACAAAATCCTTATCAGCATTAACACAAGAAATGAGGTGCCCCCTCCAGAAGAATGTAGATTAGCTAGTCTTAATCACAAGGACTGGGCTTCCAAACAAAAATGGTAAGAAATAAGTATGATAATTAATTATTAAATAAGGGTAATAGTAGGAGATTAAGTTTATAGATAAAATTTGTAAACTAAATGATGTGTCACCAATATGAATAAACACGTTTATTAACACTTAAATAATAATTCAATTATCAACTTCCATGTCATTTAGTTTACAAAATTTTGTCTACAAATTTAGTCTTTCTAGCACTACTTAATAAGTAATACGGTAATGCTAAGGAAACTAAATTTATAGACTAAATTTTGAAAACTAAAGGACATTGAAGTTGATGATTGGTTTATTATTTAAGCGTTGAAAAACATGTTCATTCCCATTGGAGACACATCATTTAGTTTGCAAATTTAGTCTCTAAATTTAGTCTCCCTAGCATTATCCTAAGTAATAATTCAATCATCCACTTCGATATCATTTGATTTATAAAATTTAGTTTACAAATTTGTTCTTCCTAGCATTATCCTTTCCCATATGGATAAGGAAAGCTCAAAATATTACAACAAGAAATTAAGCCTTCGCAAATCAACTTGAATGCTAGAATCGGTTTTATATATTTATACGTACTGAAATTGGTTTCTCATTACAGGCACATCACGCAAGAAGACAATATATGGCTATTTCCAGGCTTGAGCTCCTTCCTGGATGATGCGTAAAGCTGTTTACCCTTAAACTTTTCTTTTCGTGAAGCAAAGAACGACAGTTTTTATGATTATTGTGCACATAAAGTACGTACTTATTTTTCTTACTATTTTTTTTTTTTTTGAAGAACCTCGGCGATACGAGGGAATTTTATTGATAGGAAAAAAGAAGTTACACCTAGACAGGGGGGACATAAACCTAACCCCTCATAGAACAAGAGAAAAGAAATACAAAAGAAAAAAGGGGGGGACATGCATCTTACCCCTTTTGAGAAAGGAAATGCCTGAAAAAGAGGGGGGGGGACATAGACCGTACCCCTCTTGGAAAAGAAAATACAAGGAAAAGACTAGGCGGACATAAGCCCAAACCCCTCTATAAACCTTAAAAGGTAATAACCTGCAAGACAAACTGCAAAACAAAAGGGAATCCAAAAAGGTTAGGAAAAGAAAGGAGAAAGCACATCAAGAAGATGAGACAAACCTGTAGGTTGGCATGCCCAAGAAATCTGAGTGCAGAGGAGGGAGGATCTCGATCGGAGGAGTGGAATGCCAGACAAGTGAAGATGATAGAAGCCCTAAATTGGCTAATTTGTCAGCAACAGCATTCCCTTCTCGAAAAATATGAGAGCAACGAAAAGCCATGTTCTGCAAATGGAGAGTGCAATTGTTCCAGCGTGTCTGGAGCGACCAAGGGGGAGAGAAAGATTCAGAAGCAAAACATGATATTACACTCGAAGAGTCGCTTTCAAGCCATAAATTGTGCCAGCCCCGCGCGTGGGCCAATTCGGCAGCAAGGATGACAGCATGGAGCTCCGCATAGAAAGAAGTACGATGGCCCAAGCTTAGGGAGAAACCACCAAGAAAATAACCCGCAGAATCTCGAAAAACCCCGCCACATGCCGCAAGACCCGGATTACCTTTAGCAAGGCCATCAGTATTCACTTTGACCCAAGAAAAAGGAGGGGGGTGCCAAAGAACAGGGACAATAGAAGGAGCTTTACAGGAGTTAGGCGATATTCCAAGAGAGACTAAAAGTTGCCTGTCCAAAATGCCTCGTACATGGCCAGGGGTGAGAGCTCCAACCTGCCTAATCCAGGCCGAGGTGGAGCGGCAGAGACGTGAGAAGGAGGGAGGTTTGCCTTCAAACTTCACTTTATTACGCATCTTCCAAATAGCCATGAGTAAGAAAAACCCTGAAGCTAGCCAGACATTGCGAAGATGTGGAGAAAACCGCTTTGACAGAAAATCAAGCCATAGATCAGAGAGGGAGCCCGTAGGTGGAATAATAGTGCCAAATTGGGTAGCTAGCCAACGCCAAGCACATTGTGCAAAGTCACAGCTAGAAAATAAGTGGTCAATAGATTCAGAATTCTTGTGACATAGTTGGCATATTGGAGCCAACGGGATGCCTCGGCGCTGAAGTTGATCCTCCGTTGGGAGCTTGTTGAATAGAATCTTCCAAACTAAAATAGAGTAACGAGGTGGGATGAAAGGACGCCAGATAATGGAAGCCCAACTCTTGACAGGAAATCGATGACGAACAATTTCATAGCCATCGGAAAACGAAAAAACACCAGATGTAGAAACTTCCCAAATTAAAACGTCCTTATCCTCATCAATTGGAAGAGGCATTTATAAAATCTCTTTAGTTAGGTCTGGGAAAGTAGAAGAAAAAATAGAAGGAATAACCCATTGTCCCATACGAATAATATTTGAGACCTTAGTACGAGATAAAGAAGGGGCAATCTCTGTTGCACCAACGACGTCCACAATAGGCTTATCCAGCCATTTATCAACCCAAAGGGAAGTAGTAGAACCATTTCCAATCACCCAACGACAATTCTGAAACAAGATATGAAGAATGGATTTAATACCAGGCCATATAGAAGATCGCTTATAACTACAAGAGTATAGGCGACCATGTAGCTTGAAACGATTCCGAAGATAAATACTCCAAGGGGAATCAGTAGTAATAATAAGCCATCCAAGCTTTAAGAGAGCTGTAGTGTTAAGAGAGCCAAGATCACGCAAACCCAAACCACCTTCATTCTTCGGAGCACATATCTGATGCCAAGAAACGGTAACCAACTTCTTGGAGGTTACGTCACCAGACCATATAAAATTGCGAGCATATCGTGAAAGAGACCTTAGCAAGGAAGAAGGCCACTTATAAACAGAAAAGCTATGCAAAAGCATACTTTGAAATAGGGAACTTTAACGAAAAGCACCCGGTACTGTTCACTTTAACGAAAAACCACATTTTTACACTAAAAAGTCAATCCTGGTACTATTCACTTTACCCTTTATTTTGTCCTTATCATTAAAACTCAAAGTTTTCAAGCCCTTTTCATTAGTTTTCCTTTTGAAAAACTGATTGAGTGAGTTGAACTCTTCCTGCCATAGATAAAAGTTTCCCCTTCCAACCAGTTAACTTAGATTTAGCTTTATCTGCCAAGGCTTGAAGATGACTCCTTTTAGGCTTGCCACAGAAGATTGGAACTCCTAAGTAGACAAAAGGTGTTTTGCCTTCTTTGAAACCCAAGTAACTCTCAACCACAGCTTTGCGATGCCTTGAGGTAGAGCCCAAGTAGAAAGTACTTTTTGCCTTATTGATAAATTGACCAGAGGCTCTACTATATCTATTGAAGAAACCTTGCAAATTACGCAGGGTGCCACCATCACTTCTACAGAAAATGAATAAGTCATCTGCATAGAGAACGTGAGAAGGAGATATACAACCTCTTGGAGCAAAAGTTGGCTTAGTAAGCCCATCAAGTTGAAGACGACTCAGGCCCCTTGATAAAGCCTCCTCAGCAAGACAGAAAAGTAACGGAGAGAGAGGATCCCCTTGGCGCACTCCTCGGGAACAAGAGAAAAAACCATGCGGGGAACCATTGATTAGGATGGACAATTTAGCAGATCTTAAGATGGTAGAAACCCAGTCTATAAAACAAGTGGAGAACCCAAAGTTAGTAAGCACCCGCAATAGAAATGACCAATCTAAAGTATCAAAAGCCTTAGCTATATCAACTTTGACTCCCATATTGCCACCACGAGTTTTTTGTCAAGCACATTGAAACATTCTGAAACTAGGCCAATACAATCTGTGATACGTCGGTCAGGTATGAAAGCAGCTTGATGTGGAGAAATAATGCGTTGAACAACATGAGAAAGGCGAACTGCCAAAATTTTGGGAATAATCTTAAAGAGAAAGTTTGCCAAAGCAATAGGTCTAAAATGAGTCATGGAAATAGCGTCTTCCACCTTCGATATCAAAACTAAGAAGTTACTATTGGTATTGGGGTATAGCCAATTTGATTGAAAGAATTGCTTCAAATTGAATAACATCAAAGCTGACAATATCACAACAGTGATGATAGAAAAAACCTGGAAAACCATCTGGCCCTGGCGCACTGGAAGCACTTAATGAGAAAACTGCCTCCTTAATTTCCTCATCAGTAGGTAATGCAGATAAGAGATCATTTTCAGAGTCTGTGACCATCGGCTGGATGACCTCACAAACCTCATCAATACCTGAAGGGGTGAAAGAAGAGCCGAACAAAGTCTGATAGAAATTAACAATATGGTTCTCAATAGCCAGCGGGTCAGTAAGAAGATTGTTTCCATCAAGAATACAACTGATATGAGAGCTGGAAGATTTAATACGAGCATAGGCATGAAAGAAAGAAGAATTTCTATCCCATTTAGTTAACCACTTAACACGAGCTCTATCTTTCCAAAATGCCTCTTGCATTTGAAGAGACTCCATTACTGTAGTCTTGGCGACAATCTCCTCCTCGAAAAGATCATTATTAATACCCTCAGTTGAAATTCTTTGTTGAATCATATAAAGATTATGCCGAGCATTAGCCATTCTATTATGAACATCACCAAAAACCGAAAAATTCCATTGGCACAAGCAGGTTTTTAGAGCTTTCAATTTTTGCAGAATGATAAACATAGGACAACCATAGACAACTGTATTTCTCCAGCAATGAGTTACAGTTTCTCGAAAAGATGGATGTTGAACCCACATTGATTGAAAACGGAAAGGACGATGACCATTGCGCAAAACTCTAGAACCAGAGAAGATAAGGGGGTTATGATCTGAGACTACCTTTGGCAAAGCTATGCAGTTAGAGTGGGGCCAAGAATCAAACCAACTTATATCACACAAGGAGCGATCTAACCTTCGTTCAGTGCGACCACGAGACCTCCAGCCATTAGACCATGTAAAGGCTGCCCCAGATGTGTTCAAGTGGGTAAAGTTACAAGTGTCAGACATGTTACTAAACTCAGCGCATGAAGCTTGGGACGGTCTGCCTCCTCCCATCTGCTCGTGGGCACCCAGTATAGCGTTGAAATCACCAATAGCCATCCATGGAACTTGTGTTTGTGGGCGCAGAGAGATAAAGTCAGCCCACAAGTCTCTTCTTTTGATAGATGAAGTGCTTGCATAAACAAATGTGAACTGGCTTGGGATATGATCAAAAGTACAGCGAACCGTAACCTGTTGATCAGATATAGAAATAACTAAAGGGTCTGCACAAGCCGAAGATGTTAGTAACCAAAGGTTGGGGGCAAGAGTTCCTCTAGAATTAAAAGTAAGAGCAGATAAATTTAAAGAATCCCAATAAGCAGCTGAAATAGAATTAAAAGTCACCATGGGCTCCGCAATGAAAACCAAATCCGGGTGATGCAACCGACAGATGTTAGAGAGCTCCGTCCGAGAGTCATCGTTACCAATGCCACATATATTCCAGAAGAGAACCTTCATTTATAACGAGCTGGTAGTCCTCGGACCCTACTCGGATATGGTTTATCACAGGGTTGATTAAGATTGGCAAGCTGCTTTTGTTTTTTCTTTTGACTGTTAGATAACACAGGAGTAAAACCATCCATATCACAGCCTTCTATGTGATTGACAATATCGATGACATCCTTAGCTAATGTCGCAACATGTTCAAAACCAGGGGGAATGCTATGGTTGTCTTGAGGATCCTGCATGCCAAAATTATTTGGGACATCGGTGTTGCCCAAGTGCTGACTATTCTGAGCTACCGTCTCGACCTGTTCAAAGCCAGGAGGAGTGCTAGAGTCGTCACAGAGATCATGTGGGCCAAGAATAATTTAGACTTAAATTTTGCTTAATGCAAGGTGTGGATTGTCTATAGTTATGGTATTCTTCTTCTTTAACTTACTATGTTTCAAGTTTAAATCCTCTCTCGTTCTTTTAGTGTCGATGAGTATAAAATATCGCTTGTAATAAAAAATGCTTAAGTATGTGGATAATCTGCTAGGGGTTTTTCCCCCCTTCTCTACCTCAAGTTTTCTGTAGGCTGTAGAGTATATATGTACATATACATACCAAAATAGTCAATAGGTCACGAAGAAATTTCGTAGTTTCGTGCAAGAAGAAGAAAACGACCAAAACATGTGAACCCAAAATGCTACGGAAGTTCTCAATGATATGTCCCTCGCTTTTGGCCAAAGTGCCAAACGGACATTAACATAGATAACTTGTCTCTCTCACTTGTAATGACTACAATGCCCTTGATATAATGTATTATATACAGTTATGTTCTACTTTATAAGAGAGAATGAAAGACGACTTTCATCGCAGGCTTCTTTCACCTTAGCACTCTTTTCATTGACTGTTTTTTTCCTCATCAGGTGGATCGTCTCTTATTGACAAGCTAAAAGAGCATAAAAAGGTTAAGACTAATAAACCAGTTTTTTTTACAAATTAAAACAGGGGTGCTTTTGTCATTTTAGATGTGGATTAAGTGGAAAACCCAAAGCTTTAAATTCCCTTTTTTTTTTCTTTCCGAAAGATAGAAATTTTATTAGGGTTAATACGAATTGTTACATGCACATCTTATGCAAGAATATTAAAAAGAAACTCTGGTCCTAACTCATCTCAGCCAAATCTTCCGCCATGCTTAACTACATACGCCGCTATCGAGTGAGTTGCACGATTACAATAACGAGGGGTAAAGCAAAATCTTACTAACTGAAATAAACTTGCCATTCTCCAAATATCTTGGAGATAAATCTCGAGAATCACAACCATTGCAACCTCCTTGTTGATCATTTGAATCAAGCCCTTAGAATCTGATTCAACCCCCAACCTAGAGCTACTCCCCACACCACTACCCACCACCGCCTCTAATCCCTGGCGTATTGTCTCCGCCTCCGCCATAATTGCAGTCCCAAACCATCCCCCTCCTTCCCATCCCGCAATCTTTGGAATACCCGCAAAATCCCAAAGCACCCACCCAACCCCTCCCTCATTCGTGTGTTTACTCCAAACCCCGGTTTCTGCCAGCACTCCACACCCTCCCTACTCCCCGTCCCCATCTGCTGCCCCTCTCCAATACCCATGCCCTCCCCAATACTCTCCCTTAGACACCACCCCACCCCAAACAACCTATCCCTTCTATCAACCCTTCCCTCCCCCATCGTGTCCCCCATGGCATCCCTAAATTCCGCCATTTGCCGCTGCCATAGATCAACAGCCACGTGTGGTAAAATCCGCACCCCTTTAAAAACTGCCTCGTTCCTACATTTCCAAATACGCCAAAATCCAAACACCACTTGTTGCATAATTGCCACGATATCCACCTCCTTCTCCATCCGCTGCACGATCCGTTGCCATCCCTCTAGAAACTCATTGACCCCCATTGCCACCACATTAATCTGTAGAGATGTCCCAAACCAAAAAGCACGACTAAAGTCACAATCAAAGAAAAGATGGGCCTCTGTTTCATCACTCGATCCGCATAAATAACATTTATTCATCACACAGATCTTTAAATTCCCTCTCATTTGCCACCCTTCTCCATCACTCCCTCCCTTTAGGCTTAAACACCACCACCAACAACAACGTAAACAAGCCCCCCCCCCTATCCTCTCTTTCTAAATTTAAGTTTAAAGAAATATTGATAGTTTAGTTAAAAACCAAATGGATGCAAAGTAAATTGAGTGTAGAAAAAAGTTACATGGATTTAAATAAAATTTCTCATAAGTTAATAAATGGGAAAATTAGAGTTCGTTTGGATGTGTGTTTGAAATGACTGAAAGCGTTTTTGGTGAAAATATTTTTGGAACCAATTCTTAGTAAAAATGTAAGTAAATTCTGAAAAAAGCACTTCAAGTGTGTCCTGGAAGAAGCACAAATTATGTGCTTCTTTCAATGATCACTTTTAAGTGCTTTTGGAACAAAAAAAATATTTTTTCTAAAATCGCTTTCAGTAATTTTAAAAGCACATCTAAATGAGCCTTTAGTCTAGCTAATACTACAATATTTGTAATGAATAAAGAAATGATAAGACAATGATTTTGGGTGCGAAACTAATATTTATGGTTTTTAATAATGCTATTCTTATCACTATAGTATCATCTAGTTACATCATTAAATTAATCATAATTTTTATTCAATTAAAAACAATTTAAATAACCAATATTAATTTTTTAAAAACACTAATTAGAAAAACCCTAAAACCAATAAGTTTTATACACATTTTGTGTTTGAGTTTGACAAGCAAGTGCAAAGCTCCTCCAAAGTCGTATTCCAAAAAAAAAAAAAAAAAAAAAAAAAAAAGCTCCTCCAAAGTCTCAAGTGATTTTACTGAACTGTTAACATGGAAAACTGAGAAACCAATAGAACATTCTTAAGGGGTCGAGAATACGGAGTAAGATTATCTTCTCTTCTATTTCCATTCTCTTTCCTTCCCTCCTCTCATACTTTGCTTTTTGTCTTACCGTCTCTATAAAAAAAAAATTAATATAACATGTTGACGTAGCTTAATTGTAATCGTTCAAGTAGGAGGTGAGAAAATGGGAGAAAGATTAAGAGGGGAGAGAATTCTCCTCCCTAGAATGTATTGGGGTCTTGGAACATATTTCAATGTTTTGTGTGAAGTTTCAAAAGTTTGAGGCGTGGCGAAAATGACACGAGATAGTTTATGGTGTGGTGAAAATGTGAGTTACAACTCATAATTTTTATGAAATTTGCGATTTCACAAAATCATTAATGGGTATTTGTATTAGTTTTGTAAGCTACAAAGAATAGCAGTTAAATAAAATAACATTAGCAAGACCCATATCAGTTTTTCGAGGGGTAAAGCACTTCCAAATGTCTAACGTGAAAACTTTTAGTTTTAACGATAAGGACAAAATAAAGGGTAAAGTGAATAGTACCAGGTTTGACTTTTTAGTATAAAAATATGGTTTTTCGTTAAAGTGAATAATACCGCGAACTTTTCGTTAAAACTCCATTTATTCTTTCCCTCTAATATATTGTTGTAAACAAATAATTATAATAATAAAGGGTAAATTAGGTATTGAACATGTATATATAATGAGTCATCACATTAAGATATGGCGTGGAAGCCTAGTCAGTGGATGAGTTCTTTAAGATTGAGGAGGAGTTATTCTCAATTTACTTCGTGACTGTTTATAGAATTTTGTGTGTATAATCGAAATCGTTTATATTATAAATCAATTTGTATAGATTATCTCAACAAAATATCAAAACTAACATCATTTAGTCAATCGAATGTAACAAATAAATAGACGGTTCATAATGCTTGTATTGAATATGTCTATTTGTTTTTATATAGTTTGATGACTAAATAATTTCATATTAGAATGATTTTTTTGGATTTTTTAGTTTAAATACCTATTCTAACACATTTATATATATACCAAAACCCAAACTCCAGGTTACTGTATGTGGACAGTGGAGTGGCGAAAATGCCCTCCAAATTTTTATCTGGTTGTGCTTTATTTCAGCTTTTCTACAGTGAAAATGCGATTATGCCCTTCCGCTCCACCTATCGACCATCGTTGCGTCTTCTAGCTTCTTCCCTCTGCTTTTCACTCTTTTTGCTTCTGTTGCTTTTCACTCTCTCCACTAATTTCCATTTGATTGTTTTGCGTTTTGTGCTTTGGTGAGATATTTTATTAGCCTATGTTATGTGTTATGATCAAGGATTGCATTGGGTTTCTTAGTTAAGCGAAACTGGGCTCTTCCTTTTGCTTCCAATACGTTCTTCCAACCCAGCCCCAATTCGAAGAAAATTCTTCAACTGGCTTTGATTTCAGGGTAACTCTTCTCTCTCTAGAATTTTGTTTGGGATTATCTTTTTCTCTCTGTTCCGCTGAATCTCTATGGCCTTTGGTTGAATCTTTTCTAAAATGGGTGTTCTAAAGCAGTTGTTATCTTTGCATACAACTTCCTTGCTGCTAAGTTGGGGCGACGATCTGAAGTGGAAGGCCTCATATTTACAACTAATACAAATAGCAAGTATTGCTTATCCCATTTTATCTTCGAGCTTAATTCATCACTTGATATGCAGTACTAACTCAGTTGTTCATCAATTTGTTTCACTTTTAGGTTTTATTATGGTAAGTAATTCCTCTATTTTGAGTATCATGTATCTGTTCTTGATTTCCACTGAATACATATATTTGTGTTAAAGTATTAATTTTCGATTTTTTACAGTTTCGTAATGCATTCTTCTTTTGTCATGTCATTAATGATCATATGTTTTCTAAGCATGATCATGTGCAATAAAATGCATCTGGTGACTTAATTCATCCTCTATCTAATATTTGTATTAGTTGATTGAGAATTAGAGTTACGCGATTTCCCAATAATGCATCGAATTGAAGGGTTTTCTCGGAATTTTTCGTTTTCTGTAATGATAGTTGCAATAGACTTGGATTGTATTTTGTTAAATACTATGATATGCTAGCTGGGGAACTTCGATTAGTATGCTAAATTCTTAAAATTGGGACGTCTTGATGTTTACATACGGTTCTTCCAACATCATCAACTATATCAATTTTGCACCAAGTCCCAGAAGGTCATGTTGGGGTATATTGGAGAGGATGCGCTTTTCTGAAGACAATTACAGATCCAGGTGATGTGCATTGAGAAGTTGCTTGCATAGGGCCTTAACTTTGCCTGCTTCTCATTATTTCAAATGTCAGGTTTTCATCTCAAGCTGCCTCTGGTCACTCATTTTGAACCTATTCAAGTGACCTTGCAGACTGATCAGGTAACTTTGGTAATCCATGTTTGGAAGATTGAGGATTATGTCTTTCCATTCATTATAGTTTTGAAAGCTTCTATTAGCAACATTGTAGGTAAGAGATCCATGTGGTACAAAAGGGTGTGTCATGATCAATTTTTAGAAGATTGAGGTAAGACTATGCGATATTATTCTTTAGTATTTGTATATTAGTCTCACTTAGTTGAAGGTCTCGGAAAACTCCATTTAATAAATCCAGAATGTGTAATCCTTTAGGAGCCGTTTGATAACCATTTGGTTTCTAGTTTCAAGTTTTCGTTTAGATTTATTTTTGGGCATTTACAATAACTTTACTTTAGTGTATGTAGATTTAATACTACAGTTTAGTATAAATTTATATATTATCTTCTTGAGGTTTTTGAACATTAATCCTTACAAAAGATTAAAATTAAAAAAAAACTTGGTGCTAGATTAAATATTCAATTTAATCCCTTGAGTGTACTTTTATCAAAATTTACATTCAATTTTTGTTATTTAATGTGTATTTTTATTTAATCTCTCCATATTAAATTTTAATTTTATTAATATGCACATATTTAGTTTTTTTAATTAGAAATTAATGTAAATGAGAAAATATTAAAAAAAAATTGTGATACAAAAATATATAAATACATAAGTGTTCATAAATGATTGTGCCAAAATATATAAAATTGACTTTTTTGTACCGAAATATTTGTACCTACATGATTGTACCGAAATATATTATAATGAACCTAAATGTATGTATCGAAATGTATTATATTGAATTAATGTACCTAAATGTCAATACCAAAATGTATGTACCTAAATGTCAATAGCGAAAATGTATGTACCTAAATATCAATACCAAAATGTATGTACCTAAATGTATTTACCGAAATATAATAATTGAATTAATGTACCTAAAAGTCAATACTCAAATGTGTGTACCAAAGTGTACGTAACGAAATACATTATATTGACCGAAATGCATTATTGAATCAATGTAACTACATGTTTGTACCAATGGATATACCAATGGATATACCAAAATATTCAAATGTATTAATGTACCTAAATAAAGAACATACAAAATTGTAATCGGAATATATATTATAAAAAAAATTAGTTGCCTAAATGTAGACATTAAAATATATTATGATGAATGAAATAAAAATTAAATTTAAATGTAATTAATACATTAAAATAAAAATAAAAGGATAAAATAAAACATCAAAATACAACTAATAAATGATATGATTAAATATGCTAGGGGACTAAAATTGGATTTTAATCTTACATATGGTTATAATCTAAAACTCATCTTTTTTAAGGATTAAAATGAAGTTTTCTATATCTTGTTCTTAGGTTCTTCAACCATTTAGCTTCTTAGAATATCATTTTTGAAAAAAGCTAGAGTAGTCATTTTATACTGTGTGTGGCCTAACTTCCTTTTCATTGAAGTGGGATTTGTGAGAGGGACTGGTGGATCTTTGAAAGGGAACTTGGTGGAAATTCCTTATTACACTAATCTGTCTCATAAGTTGTGAATTATATGTAGGTATGGATGTTATCTTAGCTAGATCGTTGTTTTAAACAACCGACTCATATTTTGCTATTACTTTTCAGATTTTACATATGTAGATACTCTCTCTTCATTTTTCAGATGGTTGACAAATTGGGTGATGAAACCATAGCAATAGACTTGGTCCACCTAATTCTAAAGAGGCCCTATAAGGTAATATGCTATGCCTCAATTTTACAGAGCTCTTACATTAGTTTTTTCTTGCTCCTTTTTAACTCTTGACATGATTTCAGGATGTTGAATTGAAAGAGCCCTCTTCCAAGCATATGTCGAGGGTCAACTAAAGGTTAACAGATTTGTATATTTATTATTAGCTAACTCTTAATTATGATGCCATTAAAAAAATGCCAAGGATAAGTTGAAGGGTTTGAAAGAAACTAAAATGGAATTAATTGGAACCGAACCATTCACTAGAAATCGATATATTTTTAGGTGTATTCGGAATACAAAGTAGTATAATAAGTGGTATATGTGGTTTATATTTTCTATACTTTTTCTTATAATCTCTTATGCCTTGGTCTCATTACTTTCTTGAATTCGATTTGTTTTTGTAGAAACTTGGTTGCAAGGCAAGTTGGAAATGCACAAAAGTTTGATCGTGTCCTATAGAATTGCCAGAGAAGGTCATCTCCATTTCGTGCAAAATCAGATTTCTTTCTGCACACAAAAACACTAGGTAAACACTTATTATCCTTATTTTCTTCATGATATAATTCTATTGTCTATAAATTTATTTCAATTTTTTTTCCCTTGCCTGGGATGCTTCCTTAATGACCAACATAGCAGAGGACAACTTTTATTGTTGCAGTAAACAACATTTTTAATAGACGAAATAGGTTTCTCCTTTGATATTTAAATTTGTTTTCTTCATGATGAGGTTGTGTATAATTTGCATTAGCATTGGTAACTCAATTTTTCACTCAATTGTTTATGAAGATTGAAATTGCATAATCATTCATATAGTTTTCAATCTCACAGCAATGTGCGGGTACAGATTCTAGTTTATATGTACTAAAACACACACTAAAATGTCAAAAATACCCTCCAATTTTTTTTCCACCACACTTTCTATCTGTTTTGCACAGTGAAATGACAGTTATGCCCTTTCGTTCCACTTGTCCGTCATCGTGTGCGTTTTGGGTCTAGCTAGGTATTCTAAATCTTTCTTTGCTTTTTCACTTTCTTCTCTGGGATACCTCGACTTCGTTGGTTTTTCGCCCTCCGTTTTTCTTTGTATGTGATTTTGTTTTCTGTCGTTCTGCTGATTCGTCGGTTTCTAGTGATGTTGTTCTTTGATTACTTATCAAAGTTCTTAATTTCTACCTGGTTGCTCGCATAGTTTTTTTGCATGTCTGATGCCGTTTGGTTTTCGATTTCAGAGATTTTTACCCATTTTTTATTCGATTGGAAATTGGTTTGGGCTGGTCTAATCCAGCGTTTCCAGGTAAGTTTTGCATGTTTATCAGTCGATATGGTTTTGATTTTCTGTGTTTGGTTCGATAGTTTTTGTAAATGTCTGATGCAAATCGATTTTCAATTTCAGGAAACGGTGCCTTTGAAAATTTGGGAGTTTCGATTTCGAATTTCCATGCTCTGTGTGTTAAAGGTATATGGATGTGTTTTAATTTATTTTCCTTTGTTTTGCTTGCGCTTGGTTTTTTTTATTTTTTTAAATTTTGTTTTGCTAATATGGAAAGGTTTTCTGTTTTTTTTTTCTTTCTTTTGTTTTCACCTGGGCTTTTTTTTTTTTTTAATTTTTAATTTTTAATTTTGTTTTCCTAATTTGGTCAAGTTTTCTCTATGTGTTTGGGTTGTGGGTGTGTTCATAGTTTTTTCTTTAGTAGGATTTGAGGGTTTAACATTGCTGGATTTGAAGTGTGAATTATATATTCATTTTTCATGGCGGACATTAAGTTATTAGTGTATAGAAACAAAAAATGTGTTTGTTTCGGTTTAGGCACTATTGGAGGGTTAGAGATACCTTTAATATTTTTGATTAAAATTGTTGCTGTTAAAATATAGCACAGATTAAATTATTCGTATCTACAAGCTAAAAATGTATTCATTTCAGTTTAAACAGTATTGGAAAATTAGCGATGAGTATTGGTTAATCAAATTGTTAATGTTATGATGAATGTTAAAGTTTACTTTATGAATTTATTTTTCATGATAGAGGTTAAATTATGAGTGCTAGTATACTTATTTTGTGAATTTTTTTGTCTTTGCAAGTTTTTCTGGCTAATGAAATACCCCTGCCATCGCTCTCCAGGTATAATTATCTTTATGTTTTTTCTATTTCCAAATTATGTATACTGAATTTTGAATTCATATAAACTTAAATTGATATTACTTGACAGGAGGTTCCTGCTTATTCTCGAACCTAGAGCGGTCATATGTAGAACCTACTTGGTTATGCATGCTCAATCCATTGTGTATATAAAATGATTAAGATATGAGATGCATTTTTTTTACTCAATGAGGCTGTTACATAGTTTGCCGAAGTTAATTTTATTTTCTTCATGTTAACGAAGAGGGCAAATTTCACATTGGTCCAAGTATTTCTTAAAGTTGCTATTTTGATTTTTGGAAATATGTCAAGTAGTTTAATTTCTCTGTGCAGTCTATGCAACGTATTTTTTCATTTCAAAAAGGCACTTCTTCATGATTGGGTATTGCTGCGATGACGACAAGAAGTTGCTGGTGGCGGAGTACATGCATCATGATACACTTGCCAAACATCTCTTCAACTGTATGTGCCTCCTATATTCAGTTATTCAATGAATTTGTTTTTTATACAATTTTTGGCCTTTCTTTTCTGCACAAGATATGGGAACATGTTTGACAAATTGCTTGAAATATGAGGAGGAACACCCCTTTACTTGAAAGTTGCATTGCGTTTTAACAAATACGAATATGAATTGGTTGCATCTACTGTTTATTTGTAATGTGAAAAGCCAAATTGAAACTTAAAAAAATTTCAATCTAGATTTGATGAGTCCTACAAAGACATAATTTTCTCTTTTTTTACCTAAGATATTGATTTTTTGGGGCGTTAATCCCTTTAAAGAATGCATTTGTTCCACATGAGCAATACTGTCATCTCAAACCACTTTCACAAATTAAGCTGATTCATTATCTGCAAATCTGCCATTTTCATTTCAATTTGTGACTCCTATTTTGCTTTTCCCATTCTCATATTCTTGACAAGTGGTCACTGAAATTTATTGCCTATAGCTATTCAAAGTGCTTCATGTATAAATTCATCTCACACTTTCTTGATAGGGGAGAATCAGACCATTGAGTGGGCTATGAGACTATGAGTTGCTCTGAACATTGCCGAAGTATTGGATTACTGCAGTATTGAAGGCCGCCCATTGTACCATGACTTCAATTCATATATGGTTCTCTTTGATGAGGTGATGTCTCCAATTTCCTTTCCCAAATTTGTTTATTTAGTTTTTCAATTTTTACAAGAAGTGAGATAATTTTGATCACATATCATTGTGGAACATTTTTTTGATAAGTAGACATTTTTTGCTCTGTTAAGACTTTTTATCTGACAACTACATGGATTTATATGAGATCAAAGTGGTAATTTCATGGATGGTGTTGCAAGAATGGCAATCCTACGCCTTCGAGTTTTGGGTTGATGAAAAACAGTAGGGATGAAAAAAGTAACAGCACTAATCTTGCACAAGCCTCCTGAATATCTAAGAAATGGTAATTGCCTATTTTCCTTAAATCATAATTATTATTTATTATACCATATCTAAGAATACTTGAGAATGATGAGTTGGGATCAGTGTGCCAATTATTGCTATCATGTGCTTTACACTAAGACTAAAGTCACAATGCATTTTTGAACTCTGCAAAATGAACTCTATGCATTGCAAATCCATCATTAAGACTAAACTCTCAGTGCAATTAATAGTGTGACTAGAAAGTGTTATGTTCAACTTATGGACTGTCCTTTTGGACTTTCTTTTGTTTTCCTGCTGCTTTCACGCTCGTTTGTTGCTCTTTGAATTGTTTTGAGGATACCCAATTGCCCAAATTGTTCAAATTTGGCCCTTCAGTGAGCTTTTACGTAAATGGGGGTAAGGCTAGCCGACATTCATCTCTTCCAGACCCTGCGTAAAGTGGGAGCCTTGTGCACTGGGTACGACCTCTTTAGTGAGCTTTTACGTGCATTTTTTGTTTATTTCTTTTTTGAAATGAATATAATTTGTAAGAAGTATGTTGGCATGACCAAGTTTTTTTTTTTTTTTTTTTTTTTTTTTTTTTTTTTTTATGAATTCACTTCTTTCAGGAATTGTAAAGGAGAGAGAGGAGTGTTGTGTTTGGAATAAAGTTTATTTTTTTGTATTTAAATTATCTAGATGAGCAATTGGTGTGTTTTTTCTTCTGCCAGTGAGTATTTTTGCATTGTGTGGTTAGTATTTATGCAGAATACCATATACAATGTGTGCATTTAGTATTGTTAGCATATGTTGTAAATGGTTAGATGGCACATATGTTATATGTATATGTGATAAATTTATATTTACATTATCTGGATGCGGTTGAATCAAAGCGCAAGGCAAAACATTGGCTTCACTGGAAGAAAGAAAAAAAAATCTGCAAAAGGGGAAACTGAAGTGATGGAAATTGGAGACAAAATGAGAAATTGGATGCTTTTTATCAGTGGATAAGTCATTACAAGCTAATCATACTGGTAATAGAAATTACTCTTTGCTTGCATGCTTTTTAACATGGAGAGAAATTGAATTTGTATTTTAGAATTAGCGTTCTTCTTGATATTCAACTGTTTTGAAAGGTCTTTTTTGAAATTGTATTTCGAATTAGTGTTCTTTTTTGGTTTCTACTAATTAGTGTTCTTTTTTATTTAGAACAAAAGGTCAATAATTTCCTTCCTACATTCCACATGTATGCAAGTAGTATTGCCTATTGTTATGTAAGTAGTATTGCCTATTGTTAATGAACAATGAGACATCAATCACATGTACTAACATAGTATTTCAGATTATAACTATTGACATGCTTTATATGATTTTAAAACCCATAGCAACGTGTGGGCACCAGTCGCTAATAAAACCTAATTCCTAACCCCTTTAAACCAAAACTTAGTAGGTCTAAATCTGCAAAACATGTTGAAAAACACCAAAATGTTAGAAAAAAAAAAAGGAAAGTCTATGATGTCTTTGTTAAGTGGAGGAGTTGGTTTTTAAAAAAATACTCTTAAAATGTTGGCCACATAGTTGTTCACGTGACAACTTAACAAGGATATTCGATAAGTATTTTTACGGAAATATCAAAATGATTTACGATAGATAAACTCAGGGAAGTTTTATCAATTTTCATTGTCGGAGATTAAAAAGAGGAGTTATGTCAGTCTCAAGAATCTTTTTAGCTAAAAAGCCAAAAAACAAAAGAACAAAAGGTGGAAAACTACATTTCAAAATCCGTCCAAGGGGGTATGATCATTTGGAATTACATTTATGACCAAAGATAATGTTAGGAAACTAAATTCTAAACTAAATTTGGTAAACTAAATGATGTGAGTGTTGATGATTTGATTATTACTTAAATATTGATTAACATGTTTATTTCTAATTAGTGAGTGAATGACACTTATTTAGTTCGTCAATTTAGTTTAAACATTTAATCTATCTAGCATTACTAAAACGACCAATAGCCAAAGGGGTTTGAACTGGTAAGATTAGTAAGATGGCAATAGCTCTGGTAGCTGACTGCATAGTCAATGTATTGACAAAGTCTGAAGTTTGTTATTTTGTTCAAAGACGAATATATGAAGTTAAGTCCGACGATTCTTTAAAACTAACTTTCCACGAAACATGTACACCAAGAAAATTCTATCCACATGTCTTTGATATAGACGACGAGTTTCCATGAAAAATCAAAGACAACGACAAGAGTAAAGATTGGTTTAGTATTGTTGTGCTTTGAAAAAAAACTGTTTTTGCTGTGCTGTGAGAATAAACTCATTTTTGCTGTTTCATGTTTTCAGTTTTTTTCACTCAAAACTGTGAAAATAAGCTGTTTTTAAGTGTTTACCAATCACCTTTTTTAGCTCAGCTTTTTTTTATACCCACTTTTTATAAAAGCACATCAGTACTAAACCAGTACTAATTCTAAAGGTCATATTTCTTGCCATGCTAATAATTTGTCCATTATAATCAATTAATATAATAAAAAAGAAGGAAGTTGAAGATCTACTATAAAATTAATTAGTAATATGAAAAATAGTTTAAATTAATTTTTTAAGCATAACACATGAACAACACAAAGCAGTTGTGTAGCATGTGTTGCTATTAAGCTTCACACGCGAAACAACTTACTATGATACCATAAGAAAAGTTAAGATTTCACTATAAAATCAATTGGCAAAATAAAAAATAGACCAACATTTAAACCAATGCAAAATTTATTTTTTTATTAATGTGAGATTCAAAAAAAAAAAAAAAAAAACATAATGCGTACAATCAGTTTATATGACTGGAAAATATATCACTTGAAATATTTTCTTAACAATAATGAGGCACGAGATAATTCACTAAAAAAAAGGCATTTGGAAGATTCACATCATAATGGTCATCATGACAGCGGACTCATCGCCAAAGATGTTTTTTTTTTCTTTTTTTTTTTCCCCATCTTCTTCAGATCATTGGTGGAATTTTCTCCCCGACTTACCCGATTCACATTTGTGGCAAAGATTCTTCGTGGAAAGTTAGTGCGAACTGGAAGTGGTTGTCGTTGAGTTATACATGTGACTAGTTGCAGCCCCTGTCACATGTTAAAAAGAAGAGAAATGTTAAGTGTATTAATTTTTTATGAATTTTTTGTTATCTTATCGTTTAACGTTAATTTTTGTGCTAATATTATAAAATATTATGCAAAAAAAAAAAAATAGTAAAGAGTCTATAAAAAATTCTACTTTTAAAAAAGTTGGTTAACATTTCTCTAAAAAGAACAAATAAGAAGGAAAAAAAAGGAGTACCACTAAACCCAATTTTAGGATTATACAATAATCACTAATGTTATTCTTACCATATTTTTGTACCACAATTGTACACCACTTTAGGTGGCACTAATGTGGACAGCCACATCATCTAAATTAATTAACATTTAATTTCAAAATGTTAATCAATAATTAATAAAAAGATTGTTAATTAAATAATGATTGTGATATACGAAGAGTCTCCTTCTCCCACCTAAGATTATTTAAGTGTTTTAATTAATAAAAAGATTGAAATTAAATAATGTAACTTGTCCAACACATCTGCCACCTAAAAAGGTAAAGAAATGTGATATAAAATTGTGAAAAGAATAAGATTACTCTATAATAATTGTCTTTTGTGATCACTGATTAGGATGGATGGGTTAACCAAATTCACAAAGTCGCACCAATGGAAAAGTCAACTAAAACGATTCTACAAATATTATTATATTTCAAAATAATTACAAGATTGTCACTCAATCCTACCATGTTTTTTTAGTCTGAAGGTAGCTATTCAATAGTGACTTTCATAAATACATGTAAAGCGATGGATTTTCCCTTAATTAAGTTCTTTGATTTTATTTTGCATACATGTGAAGAAATAATAAACTTAGAAAATAAACATAATTGAAGAAAAGGTTGAACTTACTGCTATTTTTTATGTCACTGTAGAACAATGACTTCAAAATTTTCAGCACCAATGATGGTGGCCGACGACGAGATCCGACACTGGCGCACGTAGACCAGCGAGCCGTGTGCAGGGGGCATGTAAATGGTCCTATCACCTATGAATATAAGGATGCGTTTGTTGTACCGGACTGTCTCGGACTGGACTAGCTGCAAAGATTAAGCTGGACTGGCTTAGACTAGACTAAGCTGGACTAATTTAGTGAAGTGTTTGGTGCAGTGTCGGACTAAGAAGCAGACTAATTAATAAATTATAATATTATATTATATAATTGATATCTATTATAATATTATATTTATATCTATTAATATTTTATGTATCTATTAATATTTTATTATATTTATTATTAATTTATTTTTTTTCTTTTTGGATTCTCCTCTTTTTCCTGGAAACATCCACCATTTTTCCACCATTCTCCTTGTTTTCTCCGACACAGTCTCCCTCTCATCCCTCTTTTTTCTCCCCTTTTTCTCCCTGTTTTCTTCTTCAACGGAGGAAGCTGTGCATTTTGCACCTAATTTGGATCAAAGACCAACAAGTCTTTCTTCTTGTTCCTCTAACCAGAGATAGCTCTCTTTTTCACAAAAATCCCAAATCAAGGTAATAGATTTCTGGGTTTCTGGAGAAGAGCACTGTGGATTTTTGGAGGTCTTTCGTTTTTTTGCCTACAAATTTCTGGAGAAGTGCACAGCAACCCAAGGTAATAGATTTCTAGGTTTACTGCAGATTTTGATATTTTCTATATTTGGGATTTATAAGGTTTAATCTTCGAATTGAAGTGTTGTGTATGGTGTGGATTAAGCTTATTGGAAGCTTAATTGAATGAACTCATCTCTGAAGCAAAGAGGGGGTTGGGTTTGCGGGACGGAATCGGCAGAGCCGTTTCAGATTTGGTGACTGGAGAAGAGGGCGGAAGGTATGATTTGGTAACTGGGTTCGCGGGAAGAAGGAGATCCGGGATGCATGCTTGCAGACGACGTGGGCGCTAGAGACGGGATTAGCAATCCGCCAGTTTTCGGGGGTACTAGCGAAGAACAGCTAGTGAAGCTTTTAGTCGGTGCGAGTCCGACTTAGTCTCATTAAAGGCAGCGCCAAACACGGGCTAGGACTTCTATCTAAGGTAGTCCTGTCCAGTGAGATCTAAAGAGGCCAAACAAACGTGCCCTAAATGTCATGGCCTACAAATTGTGGCTTAATCTAAATAGAATGGGTTCAGTTTGGTAGTTTTTCTTAAATTTGGTATTGTTTCTTTAAACCTACAAATGTGTGGTATGTGTAGCATTACTCTAAAACCATGTCCAACTTGTATTTAATCCTAGTTTACATATGATATACATATATCATAGTGACGGTACTCTTTCTATGAAAATTCTTCATGACCTTACATTTTAGATTAGACAAATGAATGAATCATTCAAAACATAATATCAGTTTTTTTTTATTTTTTTATTTTATTAAATGTTAAGTTTCTCTTCACACGTTATTGCATGATTTATTTGAAGTAACACGATGACGCACCTAATATAGATAAGTGATTCTCGTAGAAAGAATACAACTTTTCAACTTTTCAACTTTTATAGCATGTGGTGTTCGTGGAATATTGCAGCTTTCGTATAGTGGAATTAAGGTCTAGTTGCTAGGAGGGTTATGAGTAAAAGTAAAACTAATATCGTGAAGACACAAGTAAATTGTGTGGTACTAAAACTCGGTTAACCGAGCTTAACCTTCAATTTTTCATAAGAAAACAAATTTATTTGTCTGGCATGCAGCTCCATCTTTTGGCATTCTTCTTTTCTTGTATTCAGATTTTTTGAGCATACAGGTCTATAGGTTTGTCATCCCTTCTTAATATGCAATTTTCTTTTTTATCTTATTCTTTTGGATTTATGTTTGTAAGTTATTACCTTTTAGGTTTTGTTATAAAGGGTTTGGTTTTATGTCTTATTTTTTTTTTTGTATTTTATTTTTCAAGAGGGGTAACATGTATTTTCCCCTCTTTTTCCTGTATATTTTTTTCTTATTTCATGAGAGACAAGGTTTATATCCTCTCTATAACTTCTTTTTTCATATCAATAAAATTCTATTGTGCCATTGAGGTTTTTAAAAAATGACAAACGATAGATAGTCTACAATAAATTCATATCTACGATGCACAGACACGGCACATCGGCCGCGTATCGCGTGTCGGATACGCAAATGGACACGATACGCCTCTGATACGGTCGGATATGCGTTGGATACGTATCTGGATCAACGGATACGGCGTTTGATAGATGGATACGGGTATCCGACGGTTTAGATACGGGTATCCGACTGTCTGGATACGGATGAAGGACACCTCGCGAAGAAGATGACGCCGTCGCACGGAGACGACCCAATCTGGTGGACGGACACCTCGTGAAGAAGATGACGCCGTCGCACGGAGACGACCCGATCTGGTGGAGGAGGCTTCGGGAAGAAGATGACTGCTAGGTTGACATGTCGTTTGTTAGTTTCTGTAGAAAAAAACGACACCATAGTTTTTTTTTTTTTTTTTTTAGGGTTTAAATGAGACTAAAGCCCAAAACTACATAGCCCACCGAATTTACACCACTACCATCCTGTTTTTTTTTTTTGAAGAGTTTGAATATTAGATTTTGAGTAATTAATTTTTTTATTGTTATTTAAAATATATTTTTTAAATATATATTTATTATATAAATTGCCATATCCATGCCGTATCGTGTCTTAGTTTTTAAAAATTTGACGTATCCCCGTGTCGTATCGTGTCGTATCCTCGTGTCCGTGTCCGTGTCCATGCATCATAGATTCATATAAATTATCAGATGGGAAGAATTTGAATTCAAGATATGGTGGGTTACAACCCTTGTTACTAAACGAGGGTAAAGCTAAAGCAGGATGAATGGTAACTTTGGTAAAATCTGGTGTCAGCAGGATAAAGAGCCCAGGGGTGTCGCCATGCGTTTTCCTTCTGCCAAACTGTCAACTTTGTTTTCTTGTGCTTTGTGCTGTGTGGCTTAGGAGACAGAGGGAGAGATATTATTGCCAATTGAATTATTGAAGAGCACTAAAATCTTCGTCGCCAGGAATCTGAATTTGTTGATTTTCATAAGCGATCAGATCAATGGAAACAAGTCCCTTCATCTTCATGATCATCTGAAAAACTTCAATTAATGCAGTAAGTTCTTGAAAATATATGGGAAATCCATTCTTTATTGATTAATTATTTAATCTTCTTCAAGTTTATATACTGAATTTTTTTCATCAATAACCCAGCTATACGATATATGGTTTCAGGTTCAACACTTTGTGCGGTTTTAAGCTCGAGAGCTCAAGCTTCCGGGGAACAACTCCTTAATCTTAATTGCATTAAAGTTTTCAACTTCAACTGAAACCTATCCTCGGAAGCAAGTGTCCTCAAGATCTTACGACTTCCATGTAAGTTATTGCCATACATCATACCCTATATTTATGCGAAGTTTCGATTTGTGTAATTTGTCGCCTTCCAAAAATTAGTAGTGCTATTTTAAAATGTAAAATACATATGATTTTTAATCTCAAAATTTTCTTTTGTGCTCTATCTTTCAAATTAAGCAATTTTGAGTAAAACGTAATTGAGCCCCTGTGTAGCCGGTAGGACGGTTATTGTAACATCCCACATCGCCAAGCGGTGAGGATCGTGTAAGCCTTATATATATATTCTCATCTCTTCCAAACACGAGGCCTTTTGGGAGTTCACTGGCTTCGGGTTCCATCGGAACTTCGAAATTAAGCGAGTTCGCGCGAGAGCAATCCCATGATGGGTGACCCACTGGAAGTTCTCGTGTGAGTTCCCAAAAACAAAACCGTGAGGACGTGGTTGGGGCCCAAAACGGACAATATGGTGGGGCTCGGGCCGGGATTTGATGGTTATGGTATTGAATAAATTTTGTATAAAATAATTAGTTTCATCTGCTTAAATTGTGCAGCTGTGACTACTTGTGAGTCTTCATTGGTATTGCTCAACGGATCAAACTTCCAATTCGAGAAACTATGGGGGGAGAGGCTTTTCTTGTGGCAATCCTCCAAGTGCTGGTTGACAAGTTGGCGCATCGCAACGTCTTCAAGTACTTTGGACTCGTAAACGGTGTCAATCAAAATCTGAATAAATGGAATGACACCTTGTCTGCTATTGGAGCAGTGCTAAATGATGCCGAGGAAAGGCAACTGGAGGCTGAGAGCAACGCACTGAAGCTCTGGCTCGATGATCTCTGGGACTTGGCTTTTGATGTCGAAGACGTGTTGGACAAATATCATACTAAAATGTTGGAACGTCAGATACAACATGCTCATTCCAGTACAACAAGCAAAGTATGGAACTCAATTCCTAATGGTGTTTTCAACTTCAAAATGAACTTGGAAATACAGAAGATTACCGACCGATTACAAGAGATATCTGAACAAAAAGACCAGCTTAGTTTGAGAATTAATACTGGGACGTCGACTATAAGGGCACGCCAAAACATATCCCCTAGTTCCAGTCAACCAGATGGACCTGTGATTGGAAGGGACGAGGACAAAAGGCAGATTGTTGAGCTACTGTCGAAACAAGAGCATCGTGCTGTCAATTTCGATGTAGTTGCAATTGTTGGTATGGCTGGAGTCGGAAAGACAACACTTGCTGGACAAGTACTCAAAGATATGGTCGCAACCCAAACATTTCAACTAGCCGTTTGGGTGTGCGTATCTGACGACTTCAACCTTGGAAGAGTGACAAAGCAAATTCTTGAATCAATCACATCTCGACAATGTGCCACAGAAGATTACAATAAGGTTCAAGATGATCTGCAAAAGGAGTTAGCGGGGAAGAAGTTTTTAATTGTTTTAGATGACGTTTGGAAAACGTGTAGCTATGGTGATTGGATGAAGCTGCAGTCCCCTTTTCGTGATGGAGCACAAGGAAGCAAGATAATTGTGACAACACGTGATACAGATGTTTCAAAAATGATGGGAGCTGCCAAGCTGGTTCACAATTTGGAGCCCATGGAAAATGATGTTTGTTTGCAAGTATTTGAGCAACATGCATTCTTAAATTCTAACAATGACAAACCACCAAATTACGAGTTACTCAAGGAGAAAATTGTTGCAAAGTGTAGGGGATTGCCTTTGGCCGCGAGGACTCTCGGTGGTGTTCTACTTCTTAAAGAAACATATGAATGGGAAGAATTATTGAACAACAAACTCTGGAGTCTATCAAATGAGCAAGACATACTTCCAGTATTGAGATTAACCTACTTTTATCTTCCTTCACATTTGAAAAGATGCTTTGCTTATTGCTCAATACTTCCAAATGGCTACGAATTCGAAGAGAAGCAAATGATCCTTCTATGGATGGCCGAGGGCTTTATTCTTCCCCTACCAGAAGATAATAAGCAAATTGAAGATTTAGGTGCTGATTACTTTCGGGAGCTCGTATCTAGGTCATTGTTTCAAAAGTCAATCGAAAATATTTCAAAATATGTGATGCATGACCTCATTGTTGATTTAGCACGGTGGGCAGCTGGAGAAATTTGTTTTAGATTGGAGGATAAGCAAAATGATGATGGTGTACAACTTAGACGTTTTCCGAAGGCACGCTACTCGTCTTACATCAGAGGTGATTATGATGGAGTTAAAAGATTTGAGGCATTTTCTAAAGTGAAATGTTTGAGAACCTTCCTGCCACTAAGAAAGGGTTATATTTGGAGTTATTTAAGTCGTCAGGTTACTTTTGATTTATTGCCAAAATTGCAATACTTGCGGGTGCTCTCTTTTAATAGCTATCATATAACTGAGCTGCCAAACTCAATCGGTGATTTAAGGTATCTACGGTATCTCGACCTTTCTTACACGTCGATTACCAGTTTACCTAAATCAACAAGCACTCTTTACAACCTGCAGACATTGATATTGGAAGGCTGTCGTGAGTTGAAGTCATTGCCTGCAGACATGAGTAATCTAATTAATTTGCGTCATCTCAACAACTCATATGCATATTCGCTGGAAGGAATGCCTCCAAAACTAGGTAAATTGGTGAATCTCCAATCTTTGCCTAATTTTGTGGTGAGTGGTGGTAGTAATCAATCAAGGATAAGGGAGATAGAGTTCTTGATACATCTTCGAGGGACATTGTGCATCTCAAGATTGGAGAATGTGACTGATCTCGTGGATGCTGGGAGGGCCACATTAAAATGCAAGGAGAGGCTTGATTCGTTGGTCCTAGAATGGTCTCATTCAAGCGAAATGGAATTTGTTGTGCTTGACATGTTACAGCCTCATACAAAGCTCAAGGAGCTCACCATCAAGAGTTATGCCGGAAAGGAATTTTCATCATGGGTGGGAAGTTCTTTGTTCTCTAATATGGCGGTCGTGCGCTTAGAGAAATGTAACAATTGTTTATCATTGCCACCTCTCGGACAATTGCCTCATCTCAAAGAACTTTATATTCAAGGAATGAATGCAGTGGAAAGTGTTGGTGCTGAGTTTTATGGATAGTGTATCTTGCCTTTTCCGTTATTAGAGACTCTTCAGTTTGTGGATTTGAAGCATTGGAAGAAATGGCTTCCTGTCCAACCGGATCACGAAAGTGGTGTTTTCCCATGCCTGAAAAGGCTTTCAATCAGAAAATGTTCTAAGTTGGAAGGTAAGCTGCCAAAGAACCTTGATCTGTTAGCCGAGCTTGAAATTGTTAAATGTAAGGAATTGGTGGTTTCGATTACCAACTACAAACAACTTCGTCAAATAAACATAGACGGTTGTAAAACGTTGGTGTATACAGCTGCTAAGGTTGAATTTGAGTTATTAGAGTCCTTGTGTGTTTCAAACATTTCAGAGCTGATGTTTCTGCAAACAGGGGAATTGTGCAGAAAGGGATTAACCAAGGTTAGAGAATTGAGTATTAATGGATGTAAGGAGCTGAAGTCTTCATTGAAGAATAAGGCTGGATTATTGCGGCAGTTGACTTCTCTTGACCGTTTGAAGATCGAAGGCAACTCTCCTCTAGTTGAAGAATTGGGAAAAGAAGCAGAGGAGTTGCTGCAATTACAAATATTGGAGTGCAAGCTTGAATGTCTGGAGTTAAACAAGTGCGAAAATCTTTTAAAGTTACCAAAAGGGTTAAATCAGCTATCGTCTCGTCAAGAGCTTCGCATACACGAATGTTCAAGTCTAGTTTCTTTTCCAGATGTTGGTCTGCCACCTTCTCTTAAAGTTATCGAGATTACCGACTGCCATTCGTTGATATATTTGGCAAAACATCAGATTCCCCAAAATCTCAGAAGAATAGAGATAAGTGATTGCAAAAATTTGTTATCACTAGTAGATGAGGAGGCTGTTGGTTCTTCCCCGTTGTCTTCTTCTTATAGTTGTCTTGAGTACTTGAAAATCGATGGATGTGAATCTTTGACATCGTTATCATTGAGTGGCCAACTTCTCAGGACACTTAAACACCTTCAGATAATAGATTGTGACCGACTGGAGCTAATCACAGAGGACGGGTTCTTCCGTGACAACACCAATTATTGTCTTGAATATATTAAGATCTGGAAGTGCCAAAATCTGAAATCCTTACCGGATGGCTTATGCCACCTCAGCAATCTTCAAACTCTAATTATTAGATTATGTGGAAGTCTTGTTTCTTTCTCGAGACTGAGTGGGGGGAAAAGACCCTCCAACCTGAGAGAGATCAGTATCAGAGATTGTGACAAATTGGAGGCGTTGCCGGAAGACATGCACAATCTCAACTCTCTTGAGAAATTGAAAATCGACTACCGTGAAGGTTTGACTTTTCCTCCCAACCTCACGTTTCTTTCAATTAAGAAGGTCAAGAGCTGCAAGTCATATTGGGAGTTGGAGTGGGGGTTGCACAGACTCCCCTCTCTTAGAAATTTATGGATCAGTGGTGAAGACCCGGATACGGTGTCGTTTCCACCCGACATGGTCCGGATGGAGACGCTCCTTCCCAAATCTCTCATTGACCTCACAATAGAAGGCTTCCCGAATCTGAAGAAACTGAGTAGCAAGGGCTTTCAATTCCTCACCTCCCTTCAATCTCTGAAACTCTACAATTGTCCAAAGCTAGCATCCATTCCAGTGGAGGGTCTACCTCCTTCACTGGAGCAACTTCTCATCACAGGGTGTCCAGTGCTAAAAGAGAGATGTCAACCAGGAAAAGGACGCTACTGGCACAAAATATCTCACATCCCTTCCATAGAGTTAAATTTGACAGGTATCAAGAAATGTTTTTTTTTTATTATTACTATTATTATATTCATTATTATTGTTAAGCATCTTTCGTTGGATCTTGGCGTCATGTCCACAATAATATTTCGTGGGATCACGATATCATGTCCAAATAATATATCCAATGGCAAATAGAGAAGCTAAATCTTTTTGGTATTTTATTTATGTCCTCAAGATTTTGGGGTTTCACTGTTTCAGTATGGGATGCTTCATGGTTTTGGGATTGCGGTGTCTGACGCAGTAGGGCTGGTTCTGTCTTGCTTTGGGAGCGATTCTTTGACGACAACAATGGCTATTTCTAGGCCAAGCTTTCTTCTCTCAAGTTGAGTTTTTCTCACTCGGTTCTCTCCGGGCAACATTGATTTGTAATACAAGTGTGCCACTCTTTCTCCCGTGTTTGGAGTGTTTCCCACCGGACTTTCTCCGAGCATGATTTTAACGAGCCCACTTAGACCTGTTTCGCTAAATCCTAAATTGTATAACTCCAACCAACGGAATCAAATCCCATTAGTATAGGTCATTCGCTTGCTTTCACATCTTTCCTGCATTACCACCCCGCTGTTGATTCGCAGCAGTGGGCGAGAATGGATCAAAAAGTTGCTGTCCTCCTCGAGGACCAGACGCGGACTTGTCAGAGGCAAATGCGAGATTGTTGCTGAACTGTTGATTTGTAGGACGTGGGATCTCAGGTTGAGTTGAGTGAGCAGGATAGTTTTGTTGAAGAATATGATTTCCTGGCCTTGGAGGCAGAGGACTGGGCAAATTGGGAATCTGGTGAGGTGGATTGAAGTTAGCCTGTCTCATTGGCGACTGGCGTCCAAGGTAGAACGGTACTGGAGCCTATAAAGGTTGCGAGTCTGGGAGGAACTGAGATGGCAGTTGAATTTCTGGCGTAGGGAGCAGTAGATATATAAGCAGATGGATGCTGACCCAATGTCGTCGCCGAGCTGTGGTCTCAATAACACCTGACTGCCCATTCAGTGAGTTTGTGCAGGTCCTGCCAGGCATATTCACAGGAGCGGAATATGTGTGTCCTTGAATAAACTAGGACTAAATTCGATGAAATTGAAAGGACATGGATCAAAGTGGATCTTTGTGAAAACTATATATAACATGCAGAAAAGAACAAAACCGTCACCTTTTCGGGTGAAGTCACGCAATGCTTATATACAGAGGCAAGCAACTAAAGATATTAAGCAGTGGAACTCCCCAAACAATAGAAGAATATCCTTCAGTATACAAGAAATTCAATCTGGGACTGTGAGAAAGGCACAAACTTTGGAAAGCTCTCATCTGAGACTCCTAGCTGAACACTATCAAGTGAAAGGATAGAAGTTCGAAAAGAGCAAACTGCCTAGAAGAATGTAGGCCGCAGAGTATGCCCAAACTATATATCCCCGTCTTTTACCAGTGCCAAGGGATTTCATTATATACGAGGCAAACCAATAGAGGGCAGGGCTGAAAGATAAGAAATGAGTAGCAACCTGTCAAACATGAAGCATCAAAAGTTAGGATACATAGTGAAGCTAGTTGCAATGGTAATCAATTTTCCAAATAACACCAATAAGCGGCACAAGCTAAAAACCAAGATAGCAATCACTAATCTGCTATGCCATTCTGATCACAAGGCAGTATCTTTACACCATCTACTAAGTGAAAAGTTTTAGTCTTGGTGCATACAAATTTGGACATACATGCATAGTTTGGAGGTTTTGGTGAGTCAATCTATTCAAAAAGTAAAACTTCAGCGTGATTAATATTTACATGCTTGGTTAGTATTCATCTATCAAGCAACTGATTTCCACTAGCTTTCCTTTCCATTGAAAGATAAGATAAATCTATGATGTCAATGATGATCGAAATTTTTTTTAGTTTTCATCCGAATCCAAATATAAACCCAAAAAATTTGACAAAATTATATTGTCAAGTCAAAGAGAATTACTGACAACCATGGTATCATAAAGCTGAAATTTAGAATTTTATATTTTTCAAATACTCCTAACTTAAATTCTTTGGCCAAATAAAGAACTTTAAGAGGGAATAAAGTCAAACCTGCACATGCGTGACAAAAAACGCCGTGGCTGCCATAAATCCCAAATGTAGAATACATGGAAGCACAGCAACAGACAAGTATCCTCGCTTTGCTGATAATTTATGTTCTTCTGAGACAAGAGCAGCACCATCTTTGTTCACTTGGTTCCTTGCTTTGAGATTGTGATTTTCTGTCACATTTGCAAACAATTGATTACACGGTCTTGAAAGGTAACATAAAAATGGAAGGGAAACAATATTCCAAAAATATTGATTAGGTCATGCATAATAAAACAATTGGATGTAAGTAAACACATTAGTTAGAAACCATTATACAGGTAAAACAGTAAAAGATACTAAAGTGGAATAATAAAGGCATCCAAAATTAATCATTCCCTTTGGGCACACGTCAATAACTCAAGCGAATGACAGCAATAAATTAACAATATGTCATCTTAAACCAGTGCCTGTTTAAAAGTAATACCCTGACTTCTGGAGGAGTATTCTGCTAGAGAAAATAGCACAGCAGCAGAATCTTTATCCTCAGGGAGGAGCACGGAATCCCAAAGAGAAGAAAGTTTCGGACTTTGACTTCGCGTAATGGACGATTGAGCAAAGTGTCAGAGACAATATTGGGGATGCCAGTAGAAAGTTTGGCAACCGTTTAACTTGGAAGTATCTCAAGAAACCTACTCCCCTGGCATTAAGGTAAACCATCAACTATAAATATATTTCTATTTTATTCTAATTTTATATATTTAACAGTATTAATTGCACAATATAAGTATAAAAAGCTGAAACTATACAGATATATATGGAGCCAATCCAATTACCATTCCTTGCAAAATCAAATACTAATTTGTATCTTATACTGTTATACATGCTAGACTATCCTTTATTACTATTTATTGATGATTTTCCGATAATCAGCCGAGCAAGGACCCTTTCCGTAACATTGCTCTTCAGCAACAATTGACAGTAATGATTGTGAACCTTTATCTAAAGAAGAAAAGAGAAAGTGGTAGCCTGGTGAACAAGCCTTGGTGGTAAAAGATCGCATACCAATAATGACTTTGAATATAATTGTACAGCAACGGTACTCTTGCTTTGCACCAGGGCCTCATATTGGATGGAAGATGTCCAAGACAAATATTGTTGTATCCATATGCTTGAAATGCAACAAAAGGGGCAAAAATGCATATACAAGGCAGAGCTCCACCAACAACAGCCTGCAATGCCAACTGCAACAGAAATGAAAATTACTAAGTGATCATCTTCTTCACAAGTATAAATCAACAATTGCTTTCTGCTACATAATTGACATGTTCCCTTTTTTTCTTAGATACGGTACAAGAATATTCTAACTGCATCTCCATAGTAGTGCTGAATGAAAGTCTACTTTCATGGAACTGGGTAGGCAAAATAAATTATTGATAATCATGATACTGACCCTTAATCTTTCATATATACAAATTTAAAAATCATAAATAAAATAAAAAATTGAAACCTACAAAAGGACACTTCCTCGAGAAAACAGCATCATAGGTCTGATGCATAGTCTGAAAACAGAAATAACCAGCACTCAGCACTCCATGGGACCTTGAAAATCCAGAGAGGGCAAACCAAAGAACAGCAATAACATCTTTTCCAGATATTAGATGATACAATCCTCCAACTGAAAAAAGGGCGAACAGTGTCTCTGAATATCTGCAGTATAAAGCAGATGAAAACCCCAGCCTGATGCAATATCATAGGTACCAACAATATAAAGTAGATGAAAACGGGAAAACTATATTGATGAAAAGAATATGGAAGCTGGATTGAAGCAAAACAAGATCGAAGCCCTCACTGCTGCTTCATGGTCCAAAATAACAACTGAAAGCCTGTTAAACTGACAAAGGGAAGATAAGTAATCAAAAGTTTTAAACCAAACAAAAGGTCAATGTCAAAATAATCAAGGGCAGCCAATTGAATCCAGGTTCATAAATATTATAGTTCCCCATTCTCGAAACTTCATTCTTATACATTTCCACATTATTTCCCTTTGATTGTCAACAAAATCCAATTTCTCTCATTAAGGAAAGGTATTTACTTTCATTTGTAAAATGGTGTAAGTAAAGCTCTAACTATTGTTGGAAAAGAAACACACTTGAAGCTACCAAGTAGTTATACTCCGGATAGAGTTTGCCTAATCAAATTGAGCTTCTAAAAATCCTAACCGAACCAGCTCACCTGTATAGATAACCAGCCGCAAACACGAAGCCAATGTTGTTGATCACATTGCCAGATAATCCTAACACAGGTCTCTGCCCAATGACCGGAACCAATGGTACCAAATCTGAAACCACAAAGCACCACTGCCTAGTTGTAAAAAAGCACTTATCCAAAGTTCAGAGATTGCCAATTGGGTAATCTCAAAGTTCACAAGTTGCCAACTGGGTAAGCTCAAAGTTCACAAATTTTCAATTGGATAACCTCAAAGTTCACAAATTGCCAATTGGGAAAGCTCAAAGCCACAAATTGCCAATTGGGTACTGCTCAAAAATCCAGAAACTAATAAATTTACTAAATGGGTATTACTAAAAACTGCTAATCCGAGCCTAACCTGTGCGGGATAACATCGACATGCAAAGAGGAAGAAGCGGGAAGAAAGCGTAGGCCTGCTCGTACTCATAGCCACACTCTGCAATCCGAACAAAGTAGACACTGTCGCACACAATGCTGGACTCGATAGCGGAGCTCAGAGAAGGAAAGAGAACGTTCTATTGTGAGGGGTTGGTGGATAGGCGATTGGGGTTGATGGGGGCGGAGGTGTCGTAGGGAGACAAGAGAGTCCGCCATAGGAAGATTAGAGTCAGGACTGGATTGCTGATCTGATAACTGTGGTTTCGTGGTGGAGTCTCGGTGAGGAATTCGTCGGAGGCATTTGGGCTTTGTTGAAGAGGTTGTGGAGGTCGAGACTTTGGAGAAGGAGATTGGAGGCCGAGAGACTGGAAAAGATGGGGACGGGATGGATGGAGGATGAGTTTCAGGAGTTCAAATCTTCTGCGCCGAAATTTGCCTCTCGCCTCTCTGTGACTTAACCAGCTTTTGACACGTGTCCACACTGACTTCAATTATAAACGGCGTTAACTCCTTGGAAAAGAAAAACAAAGAACCGAGAACTCCTCGTAGTGTTAAACAAGTATGAATTCTCTTTCCTCAAAAATCGAATTCAAATAAGTATGAATCCTCTTTCTCTGGATTTCCCAATGACCCAAATATCCCTGCAAAATAATCAGAAAGCACATAACTTTTTTATGATTCTACAAAAAGCAGGCATTTTTTAGATTTTATACAAAAGATGTAGCTAAAACGAATTGAGTAAAAGCATTGCATGCGATCCAGATGAGAAAATTGAATTCTGACAAAAATCCAGATGAGAAAACTGACCTGAAATTGCAAATCTGATCAGAAATGAAGTGATTGGGGATTGGCGCAATACCAGCTGATTGCCTGAGAACTCGAGCTTCTGCGTATCGGTTTCCTTTTTATCGTCGCCGGCGTCGTCTTCTTGGGCACGTCGTTCGGATTTGCCGGGGAAGATAGGCCACAAAGAAATGAAGTGTTTAACAGTGTTTACAAGAAGGCTATATAAGCAAAATGATTGCTTAGATTTGCACAACTCATCACTTTGGTCAATATTGAAAATCAATAGAAATGGTCCATGAGATTGTTCATCATCCATCATTTTGGTCATTCTATTAAAAATGGCTAACCATTTTCGAGTTAGTCACTTTCGAGCCGTTTTCCGGCCAAACCAAGGCAATTTAGCTGTTGGGAAAGATACCATTCTCTTTTTCTCGTCAATAAGTATGTTTTTCGTTTTTGAATCACTTGATTTCGTTGAGTATTGAAGAAGCTAAGAACGTTTAAAGTTTACCCAGTTTCCGGCGAGTTTTCAAGTTTTCTTGCGAACCAGTCACGTTTGAGACTATTTTTCCGGCCATCTCTGGCAATCATTGGGCTTCTAAATAGATATAATTTTGTTCTACACTTTTCTATCTTCATTTTGATATATTATGGGTCAAATTTGGTTAAGAAACGATTGAGTTACGAAGCTTTGAAAATTGCCCAAAGAGTTTTTAACGGAATGACCAAAATGATCAATGGTGGACAATCTCATGGACTATTTCTATTGATTTTCAATCTCATGGACCAAAGTGATGAGTTATGTAAATCTCAGGGACCATTTTGGCTATTGATTAGCCTTTTTGTTTTTGTTTTTTTTTTCAAGGTTTAACAATGTTTAGTGTTAGGAATAAGTCACATGATAGGAAGGACCTTACATGTGTTTATAAAAAGTTGGGCTACTTCCTATTTTACCAATTGGTTTTATGGTGAAATTTCAACTTTCTTTATGGTATCAAATCAGGTTGTCTCACGTGTGAAGTCAAACGGCCACATATGCTCCACATCACCATATTGTGTTGTCCACGTGTTAAGCTTGAAAATTCATCACATGTGAGGGGGTGTGTTAGGAATAAGTCTCACATTGATGGGATGAGTGATCTTGCATGGGCTTATGAGATGTTGAATTACTCTTCATATTGCCAATTAGTATCATGGTAGAACCCCAACTACGAAAAGTCACAGAGAGATCACGTACATACAAATTTTCGGTTCAGAAGATTTACACACATAAATGACATGTGAATAATGATGAAGAAAGATTATGAAATGTAGGAGATAGAAATAAAGAAAATTAGATGAAAACAAAAACTCGAGATTGAAACCAAATAAATGGTTATAACCGTCCTATTAATGAAGATGGACACTAGTGATCGTAATGTGATCGATCGATGTGAAGCTGTTAGAAGGCACCGATCTTAAAAAACAGGTTTAAGCAGGAAAAAGGCTTTAAATACGAGGGTGTGATTTATAACTAACACCTATGAGCTGGTGTGATCAGATTACATGATTTCCTTTTCCTGGCCTGTGTTCTGTGATCCACACATGACCTAAATATTTATAGAGAAAGAGTGGTCCATTTATCTACCTTGAGCTACAAATCAATATCAATACATTATTTGTGTGTAAATTTTGCAGGAAAATGAAGTTTGTACACAATAAACTATTGAATTTGATGTCCATTTCGTCGCGTGTTGCTACTTGTAAAAATTTTTAGGAGAAAATATTATTGTGTCCATTCATCATAGTATTGTGTATGATAATTCTTTATTTATCCCTCAAAGATACTTAGAAAAATTAAAAGAAGCTTACAAAAATAATTTTTTAATTTATGTCATTCTATTTTTCTTTTTCAAAGTGTTTCTTCTCTCTCCTTTTTTGCAAGATTGTTTTTAAAAGTCACTTTAAAACATTAATTCTGGAAACAATCTTTGTTGGAAGTTGGAGAGAAAATCAATTTGATTGCATCATGAGAACATGGAAACAAAGTTCTAAACAGTAGAGCATTTGATCACATGGAGAAGAAGTTAAACCCTAATTTCTAAAAGCAAAACAAGTCCAAAGCTTCTTTACGACTTCCTTGTTCACCAGCATCATTGTAAGGCAGATTTGTCTGCCTCCAATGAACATCAGATATATAAAGTATTATCTAATCACGGATGAATGAAAATGGTCATGGGTTCGAGTTTAGGTTCAAATAGAGTTTGAAATCCATTTATTCTTTCCTTCTAATATATTGTTGTAAACAAATAATTATAAAAATAAAGGGTAAATTAAGTATCGAACATATATATAAGGGTAAATTATACAAAACTACCTCAATTATGGATCAAACTACATTATCATACTTTTTTTTTTAAATAACAATGTCATACCTCATCTTACAAATTTGTTCCAATGTCAGACCTTATTCAGTTTTTCTGTTAATTTATTTGTTAAGTGTGCTGATGTTGCTAGAGACGGGACCTACTCCCTAATTCAACTAGATTAAAAAATAATTAAATCTTAAAAATTAAAAATTAAAAATTAAAAAATAAATTAAAAACTTCTCCTTCTCTCTTTCATTCTTTTGACTTATTCACACACCACCATTCCCGCCACGCCTGCCCGCTGCCCAAATCCTTCAACTCCTCCACCAAGCATAAGTCACATATTTATCAAGAAAAAAAAACCATCGATTGATCATTCCACTATGGAAAACTCTGTACTGCTGTTGGCACCGGAGAGTTCCAGCGCTGCCATGGCCATGAAAAGGAACCCATGTATTCTACGGGATGCACGATCTGGAACCACAATCCGAGATGGGTGTGTAAGGTTTCAGTTATGCAGCGAACAAAGAATAGCCCTTTTTCGAGAGTGTGGGGCGGGCGAGAGGAAAGGGATGAACGTGACGATGGTGAGACGGTGGGGAGGAAGAACGGCGCGGCTTGGAATTGGGAGGTATAGCGTTTTTCCCTTTCGAATTTTTAAGTTTTTAATTTATTTATTTTAAATATTTTCTTTTTTAATATATTTTATTATTAGCAGAATTTTTACTGAATGAGTTATATTAAAGTGAATTAAAATATGTAGAGATGTTAATGCGATGTCTTAAATGTAAGAAAATTTTATTAAAACTCGATAAATTTTAGGGAATTTTTGTGTAATTAACCCAAGCTATGGAATTAAAAAGAGAGGGATCGAATTTTATTAAAACTCGATAACATGAATGAGTCGTCCAAAATATAATAACAATTGCCATGCGTTTTCCTGGTCTGCCAAATGATCAACTTTGTCTTCTTGTCCTTTGTGTTGGGTTAGGTTAGTTGCTGCATTTTTGCCCCCTTGTTCTGATTAATGGAGGGCACTACGAACCTTCACATATATTATAAAAGTGATTTAAAAAACGAAATTAAAAGTGCCACAATTCGTCAAAAGTTGTCCTCGGCAAGAATTCTGAATTGTGATCTTCCATAACTGGAAGTTGGACCAATATTGGAACCTGTCTAGGCTTCTGTAAATCTGAAACCTTTTCTTTATGCTTTGCAAATGACTTCTGATATGGAAAAACGGATTCATCATGTATAACATGTCTTGATATAACCAATTTGCTAGTTTGTAAATTATAACAAACTACGCCTTTGTAACCATTTGAATAACCCAGAAAAAGACATTGAGAAGATCTGAGCTGTAACTTATTGTCATTAAATGGTCTAAGATAGTCTGGATTAATTTCACTTATATTATTTGAGGAATGTGATATTATGATGACAGTACACACTCGTTTTAATGTCATTACACTTTAGACTAGGCACATGAATGAATCATTCAAAACATAAAGTTTTTCTAATTTTTTTCTTTGATGCTAAGTTTCTCTCAGTACACACTCGTTTTAATGTCATTGCATTTTAGACTAGGCACATGAATGAATCATTCAAAACATAAAGTTTTTCTAATTTTTTTTCTTTGATGCTAAGTTTCTCTCAGTACACACTCGTTTTAATGTCATTGCATTTTAGACTAGGCACATGAATGAATCATTCAAAACATAAAGTTTTTCTAATTTTTTTCTTTGATGCTAAGTTTCTATCAGTACACACTCGTTTTAATGTCATTGCACTTTAGACTAGGCACATGAATGAATCATTAAACTCTCAAGCTTTTGAAATATGGCTGAGTAGTTTCTCGCTACACATCTGGTCTTATTAATAATGTGATGTGTTTCAAGTTATGTATCGTGTTAGGTCTTAAATTAATAATATTATTTCAAATGTAACAAATATATGATTTTGTAGTCTCGAATTTATCTTTTGTGCTTTATCTTTCAACTTAAGCAATTTTAAGTAAAACGTAATTGAACATATCATGTAATTGAACTATTTGACAGTAAAACGTAACGCGACTCATATACCCGATTGAGCCCATGTGTACCCAATAATTAGTTTCATCTGTTTTAATTGTGCAGCTGTGACTGCTTGTGAATCTTAATTGGAATTGGTCAACCGATCAGACTTCCAATTCAAGAAACTATGGCGGCAGAGGCTTTTCTTGCGGCGTTTCTCCGAGTGTTGGTTAGCAAGTTGGCATAGCGCGAGGTCATCAAGTACTTTGGACTTGTAAAGAGCGTCGATAAAAAATTGAAGAAATGGAGTGACACCTTGTCTGCAATTGAAGCCGTTCTGAATGATGCGGAGGAAAGGCAACTGACGACTGAGAGCAATGCACTGAGGCTCTGGCTCGATGATCTCAAGGACTTGGCTTTTGATGCGGAAGTCGTGTTGGATAAATATCATACTAAAATGTTGAAACGTCAGATACAACATGCTCATTCCAGCACAATAAGCAAAGCATGGAAATCAATTCCTACTCGTGTTTCCAACTTCAAAACAACAAGCAAAGCATGGAAATCAATTCCTAATCGTGTTTTCAACTTCAAAATGAACTCGGAAATACAAAAGATTACCAAGAGATTACAAGAGATATCCGAACGAAAAGACCAGCTTGGTTTGAAAATTGATATTGGGACGTTGACTACAAGGGCACACCAACACATATCGCCTAGTTCTAGTCTACCGGATGGACCTGTGATTGGAAGGGACGAGGACAAAAGGCAGATTGTTGAGCTGTTGTCGAAACAAGAGCATCATGCTGTCAATTTCGATGTAGTTGCAATTGTTGGTATGGCTGGAGTCGGAAAGACAACACTTGCTGGACAAGTACTCAAAGATATGGTTGCAGCCTAAACGTTTCAACCAGCTATTTGGGTGTGCGTATCTGACGACTTCAACCTTGGAAGAGTGACAAAGCAAATTCTTGAATCAATCACATCTCGACAATGTACCACAGAAGATTACAATAAGGTTCAAGATGATCTGCAGAAGGAGTTAGCGGGGAAGAAGTTTTTAATTGTTTTAGACGATGTTTGGAAAATTTGTAGCTACGGTGAATGGATGAAGCTGTAGTCCCCTTTTCGTGATGGAGCACAAGGAAGCAAGATAATTGTGACAGCACGTGATACAGATGTTTCAAAAATGATGGGAGTTGCCAAGCTGGTTCACAATTTGGAGCCCATGCAAAATGATGTTTGTTTGCAAGTATTTGAGCAGCATGCATTCTTAAATTCTAACAACGACAAACCACCAAATTACGAGTTACTTAAGGAGAAAATTGTTGCGAAGTGTAGGGGATTGCCTTTGGCCGCGAGGACCCTCGGTGGTGTTCTACTTTGTAAAGAAACATACGAATGGGAAGAAATATTGAACAACAAACTGTGGAGTCTATCAAATGAGCAAGACATACTTCCAGTATTGAGATTAACCTACTTTTATCTTCCTTCACATTTGAAAAGATGTTTTGCCTATTGCTCAATACTTCCAAATGACTATGAATTCGAAGAGAAGCAAATGATCCTTCTATGGATGGCCGAGGGCTTTATTCTTCCCCGACCAGAAGGTAATAAGCAAATTGTAGATTTACGTACTAATTATTTTCGGGAGCTCGTATCTAGGTCATTGTTTCAAAAGTCAACAAAAAATACTTCAAAATATGTGATGCATGACCTCATTGGTGATTTAGCGCGATGGGCAGCTGGAGATATTTGTTTTAGATTGGAGGATAATCAAAATGATGATGGTGTACAACTTAGATGTTTTCCGAAGGCACGCCATTCGTCTTACATCATGGGTCGGTTTGATGGGGTTAAAAGATTTGAGGCATTTTCTGAAGTGAAATGTTTGCGAACCTTCCTGCCACTAACAAAGGGTGATATTCGGAGTTATTTAAGTCATCAGGTTCCTTTTGATTTATTGCCAAAATTGCAATACTTGCGGGTGCTCTCTTTTAATGGCTATAAAATAACTAAGCTTCCAAACTTAGTCGGTGATTTAAGGTATCTACGGTATCTCGACCTTTCTTACGCGCTCATTACGTCTTTACCTAAATCAACAAGCACTCTTTACAACCTGCAGGCATTGATATTGAAAGGCTGTCATCAGTTGAAGTCATTGCCTGCAGACATGAGTAATCTAATTAATTTGCGTCATCTCAACAACTCATATGCATATTCGGTGGAAGGAATGCCTCCAAAACTAGGTAAATTGGTGAATCTCCAATCTTTGCCTAATTTTGTGGTGAGCGGTGGTAGTAATCAATCAGGGATAAGAGAGATAGAGTTCTTGATGCATCTCCGAAGGACATTGTGCCTCTCAAGATTGGAGAATGTGACTGATGTCGAGGACGCTCGGAGGGCCAACTTAAAATGCAAGGAGAGGCTTGATTCGTTGGTCCTAGAATGGTCTCATTCAAGCGACACAAGAGAAACGAATTTCGTTGTGCTTGACATGTTACGGCCTCATACAAAGGTCAAGGAGCTCACCATCAAAAGTTATGCTGGAAAAGAATTTTCATCATGGGTTGGAAGTTCTTTGTTCTCTAATATGGCAGTCGTGCACTTAGAGGAATGCAACAATTGTTTATCGTTGCCACCTCTCGGACAATTGCCTCATCTCAAAGAACTTTATATTCGAGGAATGAATGCGGTGGAAAGTGTTGGTGCTGAGTTTTATGGAGAGTGTATCTTTCCTTTTCCGCTATTAGAGACTATTACGTTTGTGAATATGAAGCATTGGAAGGTATGGCTTCCCTTCCAACATGATCGAGGAAGTGGTGATTTCCCTTGCCTGAAAAGGCTTTCAATAAAAAAATGTTCTAAGTTGGAAGGTAAGCTGCCAGAGAACCTTGATCTGTTAGCCGAGCTTGAAATTTTTAAATGTGAGGAATTGGTGGTTTCGATTACCAACTGCAAACAACTTCGTCAAATAAACATTGACGGTTGTAAAGCGTTGGTGCATACAGCTACTAAGGTTGAGTTTGAGTTATTAAAGTCCTTGTGTCTTTCAAACATTTCGAAGTTGATGTCTCTGCAAACAAGGGAATTGTGCAGAAAGGGATTAACCAAGGTTAGAGAATTGAAGATTAATGGATATAAGGAGCTGAAGTCTTCATTGAAGAATGAGGCTGGATTATTGCAGCAGTTGACTTCTCTTGGCCGTTTGAAGATCGAAGACAACTCTCCTCTAGTTGAAGAATTGGGAAAAGAAGCAGAGGAGTTGCAAATATTGGAGTGCAGGATTGAATGTATGGAGTTAATCAAGTGCGAAAATCATTTGAAGCTACCAAAAGGGTTAAATCAGTTGTCGTCTCTTCAAGAGCTTCGCTTACACAAATGTTCACGTTTAGCTTCTTTTCCAGATGTTGGTCTGCCACCTTCTCTTAAACACATCCAGATTACCGAGTGTCATTCGTTGATATATTTGGCAAAACATCAGATTCTCCAAAATCTCAGAAGAATAGAGATAAGAGAGTGCAAAAGTTTGAAATCACTAGTAGATGAGAAGGATGTTGGTTCTTCCCCATCGTCTTCTTCTCATAGTTGTCTTGAGTACTTGAATATTGAAGAATGTGAATCTCTGACGTCGTTATCATTGAGTGGCCAGCTTCTCAGGACGCTTAAACACCTTGGGATATTTTATTGTGAACAACTGGAGCTAATCGCAGAGGACGGGTTTTTCCGCGACAACACTAATTATTGTCTTGAATATATTAAGATCTGGAAATGCCAAAATCTGAAATCCTTACCGGATGGCTTATGCCACCTCAGCAATCTTCAAACTCTAATTATTGGGAACTGTGGAACACTACTACAAAAGGGCCTTATAGTGTCAGTGGGTGGCGTGAGAAAGATCTATATCAGAGATTGTGAGAAATTGGAGGCGTTGCCCGAAGACATGCACAATCTTAACTCTCTTGAGGAATTGAGCATCGACTACCGTGAAGGTTGACTTTTTCTCCCAACCTCACGTGTCTTGTAATTAAGAAGGTTAAGGGCTGGTTTGGTATTGCTGTGCTTTGAAAAAAAGCTGTTGTGAGAATAAGCGGCTGTGCTGTGAGAATAAGCCCCAGTTTGGGGTTGAGGTGATTTTAAAAAAAGCTCCTATGAAAAAAAGGTGAGATTGTTTTTGGTGTTTGGTAAACTTAAAAAAAAAGGCTTATTTTGGAAGCTGCTGTGAGAATAAGCTGAAATCAAAGGAAAAAGCTGAAGCTGCAATTTGTAGCTTTGGAAAACTGGTTTTTTTTCAAAGCACACAGAATTACAGTGCTCCTTTAATGAAAAGACCCACTATCAGACTACTTTTTTTTCCAAAAGCACTTTTACAAAAAAGTTTACCAAACACACTGATGATTTATTTCACAGCCGCTTATTCTCACAGCACAGCCGCTTATTCTCACAGCAGTTTTTTTTCAAAGCACAGCAATACCAAACCAGCCCTAAGCGGCTGTGAAATAAATCAGCAGAGTGTTTGGTAAACTTTTTTGTAAAAGTGCTTTTGGAAAAAAAAAAGTAGTCTGATAGTGGGTCTTTTCATTAAAGGAGCACTGTAGTTCTGTGTGCTTTGAAAAAAAACCAGTTTTCCAAAGCTACAAATTGCAGTTTCAGCTTTTTCCTTTGATTTCAGCTTATTCTCACAGCAGCTTCCAAAATAAGCCTTTTTTTTTAAGTTTACCAAACACCAAAAACACTCCCAGCTTTTTTTCATATGAGCTTTTTTTTAAATCACCTCAACCCCAAACTGGGGCTAAGAGCTGTAAGTCATTGTGGGAGTTGGAGTGGGGGTTGCACAGACTCACCTCTCTTAGATACTTTTGGATCATCGGTGAAGACCTGGATACGGTGTCGTTTCCACCCGAGATGGTCCAGATGGAGACGCTCCTCCCCAAATCTCTCACTAAACTCATAATAGAAAGCTTCCCAAATTTGAAGAAACTGAGCAGCAAGGGCTTTCAATTCCTCACCTCCCTTCAATTTCTGGGATTATGCTATTGTCCAAAGCTAGCATCCATTCCAGATGAGGGTTTGCCTCCTTCACTTACACAACTTTGGATCTATAAGTGTCCTGTGCTAAAAGAGAGATTCCAACCAAGAAAAGGACGCTACTGGCACAAAATATCCCACATCCCTCGCGTAGAGTTAAATTTTTGAGGTATCATCTTATCAAGAAATGCTTTATCATTATTATTATTATTATTATTATTATTATTATTATTATATTTATTATTATTGTTAAGCAACTTTCGTTGTATCTTGACATCATGTCCACAATAATATTTATTCAAGTAACGATAGTGAGAAAACATGTGCACTGGGTATGACATTTTTTTTAAGTGAGAAAACAACTGTAGAAATCATAATAAATAGCACGAAAGAAAAAAATTATAAGAAATTGTTGGATGTAAAGTTTTATGTTTAAACATAAAACGAAACTCACTGATACAGAGGTGACTAGCAGTTCAATTATAGCAACCGCTGCAACTACTTTCTCAAATGTGTCAGCTGATATATGAACGTATAAGTTTTCATATTCAACCTTTATTTCACTCCCATCAGATGGTCTTATTTCAGCCTGCAAATAAGTTGAAGAATAAAAGAGGTAAAAGTCAATACATGTACGTATGGGCATTATTGTCAGTTGGGTGGGCATTGTCGTCAGTTAGGGTTGCATTCGGTGGGATCGATGGCTCAGTGTGGGATTTGGTGGGAAGGCATGCTGCTTGCAGAGAGGAGGAGAGAGAGGGAAGGAGGGAGGGGGAGGGAGAGATAGAGGGGTTTGGTGAGGGGAAGGCATGCGACTTTCAGAGAGGAGAGAAGCTTAAAAGCAACTGCAGCAAGGTCAATGGACAGGGTCGCAGCAATGGAGACGTCTCGCTCTGAACCATGTCCCCTCTCCTCAGGCGAATGCTGAACAAAGTTTTGAAGGAACAAAAAGAAGACCTACACATAATAGAATCTGATTAGGAAAAGGAAAAGAAGAAAGCCAGCTTTTCAACGAAAAAGCTAAAATCAATCCCTTCGACCTCCTCATCGGCGGCGGCACCCACGACCACCAGGTTCACTTTTAATTTAATTTTAATTTTGCTTTTTTAGTGGATTAAAGAATATGAAACGAATTATAATTTAAAGTGGTGAAATTTTGTTGATTTTTACGTTCAGTGTTCTGAGTGATCATCGAGCTATGATGGGTTGGTGTTGGATTTGATTCGATTGAGGTAAAAGCTCTGCATGATTGTGACACGGAGAAAATGCTAGAGTCTTACCTTCGATCCAAATATCTGATTTTTGTTACAATTGTTATTTTCATTGCAGGAAAATGTGGCGGAGACAATAATTCCCAAATCCTCCAGCTTTCGGATCATACAATTGTCCCACCGCAAAAAATGATTGCGATCCCTTATTTAACCGCGTTAACCACGTACTTCAGCTATGGATCGCTCTTCGTTTTCGACCAAGTCAGAGATTTCTTCCGCAAAATCATCGACTGGTGGAGTGCTAGCAATATGCAGGTTCCGTAATCGTTGTACATAATTTGTTTCTATTGTTTAGTTTTTCCTGTAATTTTATGTAAAAAAAAAGCATTGCTTTGTTGCCAAAATCAGGGTTATGCTCCAATCTGTTTAGGACTTGAAGATTTCTATATTCGCCGGCTTTATCTTCGAATTCAGGTATTTTGTTATTGATTTGATTGTGTTATATTTCTTGAGCTGTATGAAATGGATGCAGCTGGCCCTGCAATTAAGCTTGAATTCCATGGAGTCCCATAAACATAATTATTGATAACTCTGGTTAATTTTTTCAAGTTTTGACTGGTCAGAATGTTTTAATAGGCTTATTGCAAGTGCTCCTGATGCTTGGTTTGATGTGGTTGAACGCTACTCCAATGACTACAACAAAACACTCCAAGTAACGATTACAAATTTCCTCCGATTTCGCAATTTCATGTATATTTCACGCCTTTTGTTATGTTTTCTTGATTTATGTTCTCATTGTGTAACTCGGCTGATGCATGCTAACAAAAAAAAAACCAGTGGATGCCTTAACTTGGGATCTTACAATTACCTTGGCTTTGCTGCATCTGATGAGTACTGCACACCTCACGCTATTGAGACGTTGAAAAAATATTCTCCCAGTACCTGTAGTAGCCGAGTTAATGGCGGTTGGTATACTAATACTACTTTGCAAGGAAAATTTGTTTGAACTATTTTTCTATATGAATTTACCATGATACGCTTCTATCACCAGGCACCATGGATTTGCATAATGAGCTGGAAGAGTGTGTTGCAAATTTTGTTGGGAAACCTGCTGCTATAGTTTTCGGAATGGGTTATGTCACAAACTCTGTTATCCTTCCTATTCTGATGGGGAAGGTTTGCATCTTTTCTCAAATGTATGACTTCTAATTTTGTGCTTACATTCCTTATCTGAATATGTGCCATTTGACTTTACAGGGAGACTTGATTGTTAGTGATTCTTTGAACCATAACTCCATTGTCAATGGCGCAAGAGGATCTGGAACTAGAGTTTGTGTTTTCCAACACAATAGTAAGTTCATTAGTTACTATATTGTATAGCGTGGATGCTGAGGATTTGTTCTTGGCATCAAATTATACAAAGAGAGCACACTGAGGAAGTGTTAGTTTATATTTAATTGCAAAGTCTTGGGTTAGGCAGGAGTTTTGCAAGTAAATGACAGGTTTTTCGGTTATTTGCCCGTTTTTCTAATCCGTGTTATGGATTTATTTAATTACTCGAATGAAAGGGCTGTTAATCGGATATGCATTTCCAATATGTTGCTTCGCTCTGTGAGATGTTGATGATAACATGAATAGAGTTTTACTCATTAAAATTAAAAGAAAAATATGTGAAGCTCAGGTTGGAGGTTGCACCTTTATGCATGATGGAACTAAATTACTTTTGTATCATCTATATTTACCTGTTATTATAACAGGATTTAAAATATAGAAACACACTGCTTATAGGATATTAAGGTTGAAGTCATTTAGTTCCAAAGATGCCATAACTAATGTATAATTGAGTGAAATGCCAGTTTACATAGACGTTGTGCTTATTTGTTTTAGGTGGATTACCAAAAGGAGCTCATCAAGTATTCTGCGAGCAAGATCGACCTTGATCATTTGGATATTTAAAGGAGCTATTGATAAAGGGAAGACGATGAGTTGTGAACCTGTGTGCCAATTTTGCAGACAAGCAGAAACTCTGGCACAGTGATCAAACAGGCTTTCATGTTGCGTATTTTAATTAATAGCTATGAAACCCACTGTGTGTCGCACCACAGATGGTCTCGCCTCCGTCCTATCCTCCTCTCGCCGCCGTCTCCCTTATCTCGCCTCCGTCGTCTTACTCCTCCTTTCTTTGTCTCTGAAATCCTATCGTCATCTTCCTCGCATGCAAGGCTATGGCCCTCTCAATTGAAACCAAAACGTGTTTCAGGTGCCTAACACAACCTCTCACTACTCACTCACATCAGTTGGTTTTTGTAATTTGAACTTTTCTTTATGATAAATTTGTATGCTTTATGGAATTTTTATGGTAGTTTTGGACCTTTTCTTTTCTGAATTTGTGTGCTTCTATGGGTTTTTTTATGGCAGTTCTGAGGAAAAGCAAGAACAAGGAAGAACCAGTATTAGAAGATCTTCCCAAAGAGTACTGATGATGTGAGTGCCTTTATCCTTTTACTTGACCAAATGGGTGCTCAAATTTCATGTTTTTTTGTGATTATATGAGTAAATTTTTGTATTTCGTTTTTGGGTTTTGCCAAATTCAATGTTGGTATTTATGGGTTTGGTATTGATTTTCAGTTAATAATGACTTTGGGGAAATTGATCGGGTTTGCATTCAATGTAACTTTTCATGCAGTTACATAGTGATGAAATAGAATTCAATTTTTTCATTCCCTTCTTTTTTTTTATATGCAGTTACATTTATATGATGATTTATAGCATATATTCATCTTTTAGTTTCTAATTCTTCATGCAGTCTAAGCCATGAAGGATTTGATAAACCCACAATTGATAACAATGTGCGGCGGCACCAACGGTTTTGGACAAGGAACAAGCAAGTACCATTTTGCTTCATTGTTCCAAAGTATTATGTAGAGATTGCTTTAATATCTTGGCTTATTTGCTGTATATGGGGTGTCTGAGATAGGATTTAGGAGATCTGGTTTAGGTTTTGCAGAGAGAGAGAGATAGGGGGTGTCCGAGAGAAATGTGGGAGGATTTAGGCAAGGGATTTCAGGGATTTGTTTAGGGTTTCTTTTCTGCGATTTGCAGACAGAGAAATGGGCCAAGGGTGAGAGAGAGATGGAAGGATTTTCTACGAGGGTAAAAGGAATGAGTAAGGGAGGTATGGGTATGGGTATGGGTATGGGTAGGGGATTGGAAAAGCATTTCGTTTTCCATTTGCTTCCTCAAACCCGAGGGATTTCTGCGATTGCAGAGAGAGAGATGGGGGTGTCCGTTAGGTGCCCTTTAATTGTCACTTTTGTGATTTGTCCACCCTTGATTGTTGTGTGATTCATTCTCATGAACGTTCTATGCACAAGGTTTCATATTATTCCTTCCTTTTAATTTTGATATTGTTGTGCTTAATTTCTGTTTTATTTTATTGGATGATTAGAGATATTTTGGTATAATAATTTCACATCATGTGTTGCCCTTTTGCATCACCTTAATTGTTCATCAGATGCTAACTTTTAATTATGTTTTCCTTGGGTCAGTCTCCATCTGGTACATTTGTCCATCCTTCTGGAGTGGAGCACTATCTTTCTGACAGCATAAATGCTCTGAGAAACTGCTATGGAGACAAACAGTTGTTTACTCCGTTCTAGGTATGTTTTTCTTTAGTATTTTAGAGGGATTCTTAACTATTCTCCATTGTAATCTTTACCTTTGTATCCATCTCTCTCAAAAGACGATGAGAGTAGCAATTGTTGCAAAGCAAATTCTCAGATGTATCTAAGCATATACATACATTGGACAAAAACCGAATCTTAAATTGGGGCAGTGAGTTCTGCAACATCCTGGTGCTGCATATATTCTCACACTTTTAAAATTTGTATTTCTCAGATATATTGGGAATTTAATTAGTTTTATGTCATTTTCGTAGGGCAATTTAGTAGATTTAGCACATAAAAGAAGATGCTTGAATCAATACAATTAACCTAATAGTGATTTGGTTCAGTGTAAAGACCACTGCTAGGGCACTCAAGTCATTTTCTTAATTTATGCGCGTATATATTATACGTAACCAACACATGTTTCCAAAGGATCTTAGTTAGTGTTCATGCTCTGCTGATATTTTATTATGTTCATTTTGGTTTTGTTTTTCAGTTGTGGTTATAGGATTGTTTTGTCTCTCTTTGTTTATTATTATTATTTTTTCCCTCTATACAACTTTTCTAAAATTGAACTGTTGTTCTCAATTTGGTTATTTGAACAGAGTCCAGTTAGGCTGTGCCTTTAGAAGGTCTCACTGCTTTAAAGTTGAACGGTGCTAACTAAATATGATGCGTTCATTCTTCGGTGTGTGTGAGTCTGTGTATGCAGTGTATGTGAGTGCATGCAGTGTGGTTAGGTTCATTCCCACATGGGTGTTCGTCTTTTTTTCATTAAATGGTTAGGTTCATTCCCGCATGGGAGGGGTGTGTGTTTTTTCCATCAAACTGGTAGAGACGGATCTTAATCAAATATCATGCCATAGTGTTATTTTGTTTGCATCTAAGGAACGATATATATTATTTCCAGATAATGCTGCATTTTTAGATTTCGTATGAGTGTCCCGGGTCGATTATGGACCATCAAAAGAGGGATGATCGCTGTCATTCGGACTGCTGCGGGCGTCCACTTCAAAATCCCGGTAAACATGTCATTTTCTTGATTTCAGGCCATGAAAAATTCATGGTGAAAAAACAAAGCTCATGTCGTGGTTTGTGCCTCTGTCCAATTTCTTATTTATTTATTTATTTTATCAATCCTTTTCCTAGACCCTGCGTAAAGCGGGAGCCTTGTGCACTGTGTACGACATTTTTTTATCAATCATTTTCCTGCTTAGTTCTATTTGTTGCTGCTGGTTCCGATATTTCGTTGTCCTATTTATTTAATGTTGGCATCCTTTATGTATTTAGATATGCTCTCTAGATCGCATAGGTTTCCTCCTCTTTAGCTGTAATCCTTTTTTAGTCGACATATCCTTTATTACTATTTATTGATGGATGGGGGAAATTTGGAAATATAACCATTTTAAGAATCAAAAATTGAAATATAGCCGATCTTTTTCAATTCTTATAAAATTAACCAAAATTGAAGTGAAAAAGACTTAAAATTACCCTTAGGTTAAAACTTTCTCTTCTCCTCCTACCTCAAGTGTTCGTCTCAATTGTTGAAACCCTACCACCACAGTACTCTTTACCAAGTTGTGGCAAGTCCAGTGGAAGTCATTCGATAGTTTATCTGGCTGACCCCCACCCCTCTATGAACTTGTTCTTGTTTGCTTCCGTTCCTTCCTCCACCCCACTTGATTCTTCTCACTGCTCTCTGCTTTGGTTTCACTCTCCTCTCTCTCCCCAACACTAGCTAAATAAAACCATCAATTGTAATATCCAAAAAATTCTAATGTGAAACATAATGATGTTTTTTCATTTGGATAAATAGAGATTGCCTGCAAAAATTTTATTGAGGAATGATGAGGCAGTTTGCCTGCAATGTCAGAAATGACGGTTGTTTAGCATGCTATAATCTGGTTTTTGACAACTTATTATTCAAACAGAGTAGAGCATAGGCGCGTTTGGGCATCAGTCAGAAAAGCTGATGAGTTTATTCAAATTGTACTCAAGAAAGCAAAAGCACATTAGATTGAAGCCCAACTAGGAATGCTGAAATATTCAATTTTTTTAAGGGAATTGTTATTACTACTAAAAAAAAAATGGAGTAATTAGGTTTTCATCCTTATTTTTACTACTCTATTGATTAAAACCTTATTACTTTTCAATTTTTTATCAAGGTCATTTGTATTAATAATATCATTAATTATTTCAATAATATTTCTAAATATATTCATTTAATATTAAAAATGTTACCATTAGTATATTTATATTTATGGCTAAATTTTTTATCATATATTTTTATTTTTAGTTTGTACCCATTTTTAATTTGCAACCCTTTTTTAATTTGTACCAATTTTCCTTTCAGTTTTAATTTGTACCCATATATTAATTTCTTTTTGTGCCCATATTTTTTAAAGTTTATTTGTATTGTACCCATATTTTTTTATTTATTTGTACCCATTTTTATTTTTGCTAAATGTACCCATTTTGAAGAATGTACCCATGTTTTGATACAATAATTTTTTGGTTATTTTTTTATGAATGTACCCATGTTTACACACACACACACAATAGTATATTTATATTTTAATATTTTTAATCCCACAAATTATGGTTTTTTATTTAAAATCTCATTACTATAAACAACTATAAATTTTAATTTTTAATTTAAAAAATATAGTAACGTACATAGAAATAAATTATTAATTAATTTTAGGGACTTGAATCAAAAATTGAAAACCAACAAGGTTTCAGTAAAAAACTGTTCATAACTAGGGACCGCATCCAAAGTCTCCCAAAAAAAATACATTTGTGAAGAGTGTAGAATGAGATTTTTGGAGTGCCAATAACATTTCATTTTTTTAACCTGAGAAATTTACAAAAACTAACACCCAAAAAAATGAAACGTTAACCAATCCACCCCTGGCCATCCAAATTTCTGAAACCCAGAATCCAAATTATGCAGAAGAAATGCGACTGCAAAGAATTGCACTGGCTGAGGTAGACAGTGCCTATTGATAGTTTTTTCACCATTAAGAGCAAATGAGAAAGTTTTTAGTCATTAAGGGTATGTTAGTATTTTCACATCAATATTTGGTTATAATTATCATAAAATTAAAAAGAGTGACTATAATTCTATATGAAATCTAAATTTTGATTAGTTTTCCAAATTTCCCGATGGAGGGAGGATGAGTTTCAGGAGTTAAAATCTTATGCGTCGAAATTTCCCTGCGGCCTCTCTGTGACATAACCAGCTTTTGACATGTGTACACACTAACTTCAAATTATAGACGGCGTTAACTCTTCGGGAAATAATGCTAAGGATACTAAATTTGAAGACTAAATTTGCAAACTAAATTATATGTCACCAATAAGAATAAGCATGTGTAAGTAATAAACCAATCCTTAATTTTTATGTTCTTTAATTTTTAAAACTTTGTTTACAAATTTAGTTTTTTTAACATTACTGAACAAAATAAAGAACCAAGAACTCCTCTAAGTGTTAACTATTAAGTAAGTATGAATTCTATTTCCTTAAGCTCGAATTCCAAATAACTAGAAAAATCCCTGCAAAATAACTAGAAAGCACTGACCTTTTTTATAAGGGAGTAATTCTACAAAAAGTAGGCATCTTTTTTACATTTTTTATACAAAAGATGTAGCTAAAACGAATTGAGTGGAAGCGTTGCATGCCACCCAGATGAGAAAATTGAATTCGAAAACCCCAGATAAGAAAACTGACCTGAAATTGCAAATCTGATCAGAAATGTCGGATTTTTGCCTGAACTCTCAACCAGATGCGATTGGAGATTGGAGCAATACCAGCTGATTGCCTGAGAACTCGACCTCCTGCATCTGAGTATCGGTTTCCTTTTTTTCGTCGCCGGCGTCGTCTTCTTGGTCGGGTTGTTTGGATTTGCCGAGGAAGACAGGCCACAGAAGTTCGTGTGGCCACGTGTCAAAAGCTAAGAGAAGCCAGAGAGAGATTACAGACAAATTTAGGTGCAGAAGATTCGAACTTAGTCGTGAAACGTAGGAGATGTTAATAAAAAGTTAAAAGCCTATGAAAACAAAAACTCGAGATTGAAACCAAATAAATGGTTATAACTGTCCTATTAATGAAGATGGACACTAGTGATCGCAATGTGATCGATCGACGTGACGCTGTTAGAAGGTAGGAGAAAGGCTTTAAATATAAGGGTGTGATTTATAACTAACACCTATGTACTGGTGTGATCTGATTACATTTACATGGTTACCTTCTCCTTCCTGTTTTTGTGTTCCACACATGACCTAAATATTGATAGAGAAGGAATGGTCCATTTATCTACCTTGAACTACAAATCTACATCCATACATTATTGGTGTTTAAATAAATGAAGTTTGTACATGATAAATTATTGAATTTGATGTTCATCTCGTCGCGTGTTGCTACTTATAGATATCTTTAAGAGAAAAGATTATCGTGTTCATTCATCTTAGGTTTGTGTATGATAATTCTTAATTTATTCTTCAAAGATACTTATAAAAATTAAAAGAAGTGTGCGGAAATAGTTTTTTAATTTATATCATTCGATTTTTGTTTAAGAAAGTGTTTCTTCTCCCTCTAAAACATTAATTCTGGAAACAATCGTACTGGACTTTATATTGCTCTGTTGGAAGTTGGAAAGAAAACCAATTTTATAGCATCATGAACATGGAAACAAAGTTCTAAACAGTAGAGCATTTGATCACATGGGGAAGAAGTCAAACCCTAGTTTCTAAAAGCAAAACAAGTCCAAAGCTTCTTTACGACTTCCTTGTAAGGCAGATTTGTCTGCCTACAAAGAATATCAGAGATATAAAGTAGCCATTATCTAATCACGGTTGAATGAAAATGGTCACGGGTTCGAGATTTGAATCCAGATAATCACGAGTTTCGAAAACTAAATACGTACGAAATGATCTTAAGTGAAACAAATTAGAGAAATATTTTAAATTTTGTGTTTTCTGCTTCTGGTTTTGAGATTGATACTGAAACAAAAAAAAACCATACAACACAATACAATGAAGTGCCCTTTTGTTTATCCAATTACAGAACTCATCCTTCAGGCCAACTGAAAGATCCCCCAACTAACTGTCCTCATGTGTGGAAAAAACAGAAGAAAAACATTACCATATTAATGTACTTTTAAGTAGTACGTACTAATTCAACGATTCTGAAACCTCATACGTAGTGTATGGTTAAAAGTTACACATAAGTTATTGCACCAGTGTTTCTTTACTACGGAAGTCTTACTAATTGAACAATTTTGATTCATACAATCATTGTAATTCACGTCTTATATATGATTAAGAGTTATATAAATTATTACATTGGTGTATCTTTATTTCAGAAGTCTTACTAATTGAATACTTTTGACACATACAAACACCTTAAGCCACGTTTTTTTCTACAATCAAGGGATAGAGAAGTTACCACACCGGTGTCCTTTACTCCCCAATTTTTTTGGGTGGGGGTGTTGCTGTTGCAAAAAGGACGGTATTTCCGTTCATTCAGGGTTTGCGCAAACGGTAGGGCAGTACTGCACATGAGTCCATTATTTCTTCTAGTTTTCAGATGTGATATTTTGGTGCACTATGTGACAAGCATTTGCGATTTTAAGGTAAAACGTGTCCCTTCACATGCGAAGCCTCCAATGAAACTATACCAAGATGCTTGCACAATTATTGCCACTCCACCACCCAACTACTTTTCAAATGGCATAAAAACCAAAAGGGCAGCCAAGAAAAAGCAGAAAAACCACACACACACACACACAAACCCATTTCTTCTCTCTCTCGCAGCCCTCATCTCTCCTTTCTTCTGCACTACAATGAGTAACTCAAAGGATGTGAGTGTGCAGGCACTCACATGCACTTTGGTGTTGATATTTCTAGTTGGTTTTGGCAGCTGCAACATAGACCAGGATAGGGCAGAATGTACAGACCAACTAGTAGGGCTTGCCCCGTGTCTTCCGTACGTCGGCGGTGATGCCAAAACTCCAACCTTAGATTGTTGCAGTGGAATTAAAGAAGTGGTGCAGAAGAGCAAGAAATGCCTCTGTATCCTACTTAAGGACCGCGACGATCCGAAACTCGGCCTTAAGATCAATTCCACTCTTGCTTTGAACCTTCCTAGTTCCTGTCATGTACCTGTCAACATATCAACATGTATTGGTAAGTACATATATATACTGAACTGAAGTATATATTAATTAGTTTAATTTCTCTAGAAATGTTCATGATTATATAGATCACCAGTTTGATCATTTTCAACGTTGGTGATGGATTCAGATCTCTTGAATTTGCCATCAAACTCTTCGGACGCGAAGATGTTCCGGGATTTTGAAAACAACACTGAAGCTAGAAGCAACACTACTGCCCCTACATCCAGCGGTATTCTAACAAATTTACTCCTAGAATTTTAGCATATTATGATTGGTAATTAATTTAATTACAATTTAATAGTTCTTTATCTAGTAATATATGTTTAATTTACTTGGTTTTATGTTAATTATTATAGTGAATTCTACAAGCAGTGGTACAGTTGCTCAAGCAAAGAGTGATGGTGGGAGCCTGGAAAATAGATTGATGGGAATAGAGATGCTATTTGGGACTTTTCTGGTGTTTTATATTTCACACTTAGTGTTTTATGCTTGATACAAGACTGCCTTGTCCTTATTGCTGATCGTTTTGTGTGTAATGATCTCTCTCTCTCTCTCTCATCCTCTGCACTTCTCTCTCTAATTATATATTAATCAATTGGATATTATTATGGGGCGTGTATGGATCAATTAGGATCATTCTAACCCCTTATATCATGTTTTGTAATTTGTAATGACAAATGTTAACAAAATTATAGCTAGCAACTAAAATGGTCACTTTTGGCAACAAATATTGATCACTTTTATGTCCTATATGTTAACACTAGACCACAAACAAGATCCAGTTACTCGAATCACAACCGAACAAAATACAAAACACCAATTCATATAAGGTTGAAGCATACTAACCTGAAGAACTTTCATTGGATGCAGCCATGGCTATTCACGATCAACCTGAATGCAGCAGCTCTTCTTCTCTCTGTCACGATGCTTATTGCTCAAACTAAGAATAGAACTCAGTTCCAAAAAAGCGTGTTCCTGTGAAAGGAGAGGTCGCCTCCCTATTAGAATCCTTATGGAAAACAACTTATATTTTCCTAATCCATATCATTTCATTACTCCAGCAGAATTCTCTATTGACAAGAACTAGTATACATCTTCCCATAAGGCTTTCTTATACCAATTGGTTTCAGATAGCCAATGCCAGATCACCTAGTCTCAAGTTTATATTCTTACACTATATATCTTCAATTTCTCTTCTTTCTTTTTGGTAACCCACAAAATTTGAAGGAAATGAAATTTTGGTGAATGTTTCGCGTACTTGTTTTGAGCCTTCACCAGGCGCAGTGTTCATAATAATGAATATTGCTCGTTTTTCAAACAATCTGATACATTGGGTTAGTAAACTGCCAATCTAAAAACTATAGTTTGTAGACACAGTCAAGAATGTTAGTAGACCTCAATGTTTTCAGAGTCCTGAAAGATCTCATTGGGATGTTAATGTTTTGGCAAATGATCAAATTTTCCTCACTTCCTTAATATTAAAGAGAAAGAAGTGCCTCTTGAGAGGAGCTAGAGCTAGTGGGTAGCTATCCCTCTTTCACGACGAAGGGTGCACGTAATCCTTAAGAGATCGTTAAAATAACGATCTTATGCAAATCATGAGACTCGATGCGAAAAAGTTAAAATATGTAGCAATTTTTAATTACAATAGAAAACAGTCACTTTGTCGTTTCTTTTTCATTATTGTTCGTAAAGCACACCCTTTTTCATTATTGTTCGTCATCTCCAATTCAAGCCCAAAGCTATGGCCATGGTATATTACAAAGCCACATGGGCTTGAAGGACAATATCATAAGTATGCCCATGAGTAAAATTTAACAATATGCATCGCCACCAGCTGTGAGCTACTTGAGATTATCGTGATAAAGTAACTAGTTGATCTTCTTGAAGAAAAAAAAATTACGTATGTGTAGACGATCTAAACTTAACGTAACATATTCCTTAGCATATAAAAATGCTAGAAACTTCGTAGTAGAAACTTCATAGCCTATGTGTAGTATTCGTGTCACTTCCGTGTCAAACCTTTTATATTAACAAATCGTTTTGTATCAAACACATTATCTTAATGAGTTCTTAACAGGTGACTCGACAATAATCTGACTCGCTAACGTGTCATTTCGAGTCAGATTAATGGATCGTGCAAGAAATTGTCATGCCTAAATGTCTAGACCAGATAAACAAATTGTATTTGTGTTATTTACATGTCATATCCATTATCTTAATAGGTGACCCAATAACGATTTGATTCGTTAACGAGTTCTTAACGTGTAATCCGATAATGACCCGACTTGTTGACAAATTAACCCAAAAATTATTACTTCCATGTTATTTCGTGTCAGATTAATAAGTCGTTCAAGAAATTGTTACGCATTTTTTAGACTCAAATTCTAATTGTGGTTGATGAATCATGAAATGTAACCCATGCCTTGGTGTACCTTTCTATTTATATCTCCTTCCCTCTTTTTGGTTATAGTAGTGACTCATCCATTTTATTTTTTTTATCAATCGTGACTCATCCATCTGAACTCTTTTTTTCTTTTTCTTAATTCATAATATCCTTTTCCATTCGTTTTTACCAAAGCATTATCCATTGTCTGGTTCTTCTGCTGCCGACCAACCTGGACTTCAAGAAAAACCCATGATTTCCCATAAATACCACACCAACCTCAAAAACAAATCCAAACCGTCCAAGCCTCTCAAATCCAACGGTACAGATTCCTCTAAACCTCTCACCCTCAATATATACACCCAAAAATCTTTCCCGGAAAATCCAACCTGCAAAGGATAGTCAAGAACCCGAAAAAGCACCGAACTTTATCAAAACCCACACACTCTTTCTCTAACACCCGACCCGAATATGGCTCCCCATCTGGGTCTGATCCCGATCCTCCTCTTCTTTCTCTCCGTCCTCCCAAGTCTCTCTCTTTCTCTCTCTAACTCCCCACCCACAGTCTTCGACATTTTACCCGAATACGGCCTCCCCCGCGGTCTCTTACCGTCGTCGGTCTCCAACTACACGCTCTCCGACGACGGCGGATTCGTCGTCGTTTTGCCCAAGACCTGCTACATTCAGTTCGATTACTTGGTCTACTACGAAAAGACCATAACGGGCAAGCTCACATACGGGGCGATCACCGACTTGAAGGGGATTCAGGTCCAGAGGTTCTTGTTCTGGTTCGACGTCGACGAGATCAGGGTCGATTTGCCGCCGTCCGATAGCATTTACTTCACTGTTGGGATCATCAACAAGAAGCTCGACGTCGATCAGTTTGAAAATGTCCGGTCTTGCCGTGACGGGTTATCGGGTTCTTGCGTCGGGTCGTTCAAACGGGGCATTCAGGTATTTTATATATTTGATTACTTAAGTAACTGTTTATTTATCGCTTTTGTGTCTTGATTGCTTTTGGGATTTTATAAACTTACGTTTTTTCTTGAATTATTGTGTGTAAATTGGATTTTTGAGCTTTGAATTCCTGCAACTTTACGCTTGTGGGTTTGTAGTTTTAGAGCTAAATTAGATAAATAAAGTATAAATTGGATCCTTGAAGTGATCATCTTTGTTAAAAAGAATCAATTTTGTTTGTAAATATTGTGTTTTTTATGTGATTATATGAGAAGTTTAATTCAATTTCTGAATTGTCATTATTTTTCCTGGTAATTGAGGAGGTAATTAAGTTACTGTCTGCTGCCTGACGAAACTACAACACCACCAACAGCGCGTAACGAAGCACAGTGTGCAGAGTCTGTGTATTTGAACCTTATGCATTACATTGAATTAGAAGGATTCTATGGCGGGTTTCATTGATATGCGGTCTTGTTTTCAAGTCTAAAATGGAATGGGAGTCTAGTATTGGAGTATGATGGAAACCAAGTTAGGAGCATGTTATTGTAAAGATAGTGAGTTCATTTAGATTTAGTCACTAAATTATTTTTGGAAACAAAGGGACTAAGATATTCAATTTTTAGGTGGGAACTGGGATGGGGGATTGCAGAGGTACAGTATTGTTTGCCTGCATAACAAAGTGAACATCTTTGTTAAAAAGAATAAACTTGTTTGTAAAGATTGTGTTTTATGTGTGATTATATGAGAAGTTTAATTCAATTTCTGAATTGTCGTTGTTTTTCCTGGTAGTTGAGTAGGTAGTTAAGTTATTTGAATTTGTGGAAGTAATTGATATGAACCGAAATAGAAAACTACCAAAAAAAAAAAAAATACACAGAGTTGAGTGCTCCTAGAGGGGAAAGCTACTCAAGAAACTTCCTTAGTCATCAGCTTGCATATAAGGCCAAAAAGTAGTAATTAAGAGTGCTGTGTCCCTAATAAACTACTGAGACAGTTGGGTGGCTGCATGTGAAAGTCATAAGCATATAACAGCTTGGACAGCAAATTATTCTGTCTACAACCTGACAACACAGCCAATAATGCGTAACAAACGACACAGTGTACAGAGTCTGCAAACTTGTCTTATGCGAAGCTTATGCATTACATTGAAATAGAATGTACTGGCATGTTTATTTGTTGAGTGAAGCTATGGTCGGTTTCATTGAATGGTTGAATTCATAGGGAATGAGATCATGTTTTTAAGTCTAATGGAAATTGAATTAAAGTCTAGTGTGGGTGTATCATGAAAACCAAGTCACCAAAATTTAGGAGCATTTTATTGGAAAGTAAGTACACTGAATTCTTCATGAAAGAAAGGGACCATTCATGCGTAATTTGTATCCTCTCATCCTCTGCTAGTTTGGCGGGTTAGGTGCTATAAGGCCGTTTCTGTTTTGTGGTTTACAATCGGTTTGATACTTTAATAGGGTTTCAATATGTGGGTTGGAACTGGGATGGGGGGTTGTGGATGCTCAATATGTTTCTCATGCATAACATTATCAGTTCAAACTGTTGTGTGTGTTGCACCTTAAAGATTGATCTAGAATCTACGATATTAAGTGAAAGATAGGAAATTGGGTGGTCCCATCATGGGTAAGAAGGGTGTGTTGAGATTTATTAATTGTTATTTCTCTTCTGAAAATGTGAGAAATCTTGAGTTTTGGGAGTAAGTATTTGCATAGGATAGGCTTGTGTCTTGTGAGGATGAGATTGTTGTATCCGTGGCTTCTTAATGTTAACTTAGGAGTTAAAGGACTAGGAATGTTCTCTAGAGAAACTCTGAAAATCAAACAAGTGGATTTCGTTGAACTCGTCAATCACACGAAAATTAATACCTCCATTTGGTTTATTTTTCTTATATTTTACACTGACAATGAGTGACCGCGGTTTTAGAGATATTAAAGATGCTATAAGTTTATCCTTAAGTCATTTTTGCTCTGTTGGGAGCCTTGGCAGAGATAAGAAGCGGGTGAAGAGTGTAGTCTTTTATCGCCTTAGTAGGCAAGGAAAGACCAATGACAAAGAAAACATAGTTATGTATTTTGGTTTTAAGGAGGGAAAAGCCTTAGAATCACATGATTACAAGTGACTAAACCTTTGCTGTTAGGTTGCCTTGATGTCTGCATAAGTGAGCTTTAAAGTAAGAAGTTTATTTTCCTGAAAATTTTTATGCTGTTTTCAAATTGGAATACGTACTTCTTGTGCTTCACCCTACCGATATGTATGTAACATGTTCTTTTCCTGTGGTGATTTGCAGCTTCCAACCCCAGTGGAAGAAATTGAGATGCTAATTACCGAATAGACACCACCGAGTGGTTATGCTGTACGATGTAGTGGCTGAGCAAAGGGGCTCTCCAAGAAGTAGTTCACACTTCCAGACTCACAAAGCCGTCGAGTTTGGTTTTAGAAGAATTCAGTGTTATGTACTCCATAAGGGAATTTACTAGTGTTACTCGTTGGAACTGCGTAGTTTGTATCTGCAGACTGCAATATCGTCAAATATCGTGTATGACGTAATCAAATCTTGTATATATTAAGCTGGATGTTAAAACTCAAGACTGTTACTTCTACCCGTTAATATCAAGGGTGAAAGTTGAAATGGATATGTGTGCATCTTGGTGATATTACCTTGTTAGCGTTGTCGCAAGTGTCGGTGGAAATCGGAGGCAAACTATCTCCTCTCTTTGACATCCTTCTGAAATGAATGTTCGTTTTACTTTACTTGACAGACTAATCTGGAAGCATAAACATAAAGACAATGTATTAACGTTGTTAGCTGAAGATTATGCCAATTAATCGAAGCATGCATGTTGAAATTTGATGATTGGGACGTTGAAGGTTTCGGAATCCATCAAACTCAACCAAGCCATAAACAGCTGGCTGGAATTTGCTCGCCTAAAGAATTGATTGAATGGGGAAGGGAAGAATCTCAGGTTTTCCTCTATATTGTTAGAACTCAGTGACTCAGTCGCAGATTGCTTTCGAGGACTTTCATGGAGGAAAGGCTCATTGGCAAGACACCGGTCGAGTTATCATGTGGTGAATCAAGTTTACGAAGTTATTTAACATCTGGAAATAACAGAATCTCAAACTGGCAGCAGCAGTACATTCGAATAACAGATCATGAGTGCTCAGAGAGGCTGCTTTGCATTCTATAACATGTCGGGAAAATAACAGCAGAAGCTGTGGAACATCCTGCAGTCGTAGATACATTTGTTTGCGGTGGAACAGACTCGAGCCTGCCATCCACTGTGATGAGCTCTGAAGAGTGAGTAGCTTGAGAAATATCACATGGCGTCATTGGCGAGCCTCAGTTTCTTGAATGATTTCGACTGCTCATACAATAATCTTGAAGGACCAATACCGTAAAGCACTCAGCTCCAAAGCTTCAGTTCTTCTGCATTTGAGGGGAACCCGAAACTTTGTGGCGATCCACTTCCAAATGAATGCAGACAGATCAATGGTGTTGATGACAGCATGACACGGCTAATAAGAACAATCAAGATGCAGATGATCAAGATGGGAATCAAATTCCATGGTTTCGTATTTTCATTGTACTTGGGTTCATCGTAGGATTTTGGGGAGTTTGTGGTCCCTTGATGGTTAAGAAGACATGGCGATATGCATATTTCCAATTCCTAGACAATGTAAATTATAGGCTGTGCGATGGTAACCGTGTGGATGACCAGGATGCAGAGAGGGCTTAGAAATTTGATTGTGTTTGCTTTCTTCTTTTGACAACATGTACTTTTTATCTTACGTTGTCATTTTCTTGTTCCATAAAGCCATCAATTTGCTATATGAGTGTCGTTCATGTTACCAAAAATTTATATCTGTATCGATATAACATTTGTAATCAACAACATAACTTTTTTTTTTTTAAATATCGAAATCAATACGTTTATAATAAGATGATGGGGGAATAAATTGGTTACCAACTCATTATTTATAAAATTTGAACATAAAATTTATCACTTAAAATGAAAAGAAATAACATTAAACCGTAGTAATAAGTAAGGACAATATAATCATCTTGTATTGGACTTTCACATTTGTCCTTGGGAAATGGATGTTACAATTTGGAATAATCGAACAGGGTTAAAATTGTCATTAAATTACCCTCGTAACAAAGAAGTGCATTGGATACCAACAACCATCCAGCCCAATCATAGAACAAATTTTTCTTCCTATATTACCCCTCAGTATTCTCCTAAACTTCCATCTCTCTTCCTCCTCTGTTCTTCCCCAAGTCAAACTCTCACCTTTCTTCCTCAGAGCTCTGCAATAATGGCACCAGGCACCGCTCAGATCTCTCTCTACCTTCTCCTCCTAATCCTTTTCTCAAAAACCGATCTAACTCTATCCCTCAGATACCTCAAACCCAATCCTGACGGTCCATCCAACACCTCCGTATCAATCGCAGACGTCCACGACCTCCTCCCCAAGTACGGCCTCCCAAAGGGTCTCTTACCCGACAACGTAGAATCCTACACTCTCGCAGAAGATGGAAGCTTCGAGATCTTCCTCGGAAGCCCGTGTTACGTGCACTTTGATCAGTTGGTTTACTACAACAAGCATATTAAAGGGAAGCTGAGTTATGGGGCAGTTTCTGATGTGTCTGGGATTCAAGCCAAGAAGCTTTTTATTTGGGTTTCTGTTACCGGGATTCACCGTGACAAAGGATCGGATTCCGTTGAGTTTTACGTTGGTGCCTTGTCGGAGAAGCTGCCGGCGAAACAGTTTGAAGATATTCCTGATTGTAAGAACAAGGCTTGCCATGGTGTCGGAAGTGGTTCTGTTGAGTCAATCTGAGGTATTATTCTTTCCTTCTAGAAAATACAGAATTATTGGTTTTATTTGTTTTTTGTTGGATTAAATGGGAAAGTCTAGAATTTTTTGTTACTGGTTTTTGCGTGTAGCTCGAGTGGTTATGAGCGTTTACTCCTGCACCTCGGGTTTGTGTAAATCCACCTATCTAATAAAGCTTGCAGCAACAAAACAAAACAAAAAATCTACAGAAGCATTTGGATTTTTTAGGAAGTTCAGCCTTTTATATTTTTCCTCTTGAGTTTGATCTTTGTAAGATTAATTGTAGGCTAGGCTATTGAAAAATAATAATTGAATCAAATCGGAGGAAACTGATTGTTTGTTGATTGTTAGTCTCGGCAGATTAGATTATTAGACCAACAGAAGATCAAAAGATTTATTGCAGACAGATTGAAAAATAATATTCAGGTGATGATATAGGCACTTGACATTTGAATCACCAAAATTTGGAATCTTGCATTCTTTACTTCCATATAGGCACTTGACATCAGAACTGCAAATCTTGTTCCAATCATTTTTCGCTTTGTTTCACTACTATCCATGCTCTAACTCTTCGGGGCATTGCTTAGTTTTCTCCTATAGGTAGTGTTCAAATATTGGAGGTTCAGGTCTCAGGTCGAAAGATCAACTTTATCAACCCCATCTTGGACCTTAATTTCTTAATTTCTGATGCAGGAAGTTCTCAGTACTTAATGAGCTGGTTCAGTTATCGTTAAGGGCGGCATTGCATTATCATTTCTCCGTTTAACGAGATTTGGTGGAGCTATGCTGGTGAAAATCTTGTAATCTATTCCAAGTTTTCTGCAGGGATCATTCAAAAAGAAGTTTCTAGTGATGCTGCATGATGAAAAGGCTTTCTAGGTTCCTATAAAAACAAAACCAAAACCAAATTTGTATTGTTGAAGCCCTGAAAGCTTCATATGTGAAGCACTAATCATAAAGCTGGGAAGCTGGACAACATTGTGCAGCTTCCCGGCTGTATGTTTTATGTTCGAAAGACAACATTTTAAACCCAAATTTTCACCAATAATTGAAAGAGGGAGGATTTGATTCTATTTAAAAGTTAAAAGTTTCTGTCTAGATTCTTAAGCAAAAGTTAAACTGACTTGCTTCATTAAATTGGTTTCATTGGCATTGGCCTAATGTAGGCTTTACTTGCTAAAATCGAAAATTAGGGTAATCTTGGGAGGACTAATGAAGCTGCCCTGATATTGTTGCAGGTAGAAAAAGTACAATGCAATCACTGCATGGAAGAAGGAAACCATCTGCAGATCTTTCCCTCGATCTCATGCAGTCATCTGTATGCTTGAACAAAGTGGCCAGTAGAAGCAAATAAATGTGCATATGAATTCTTCTTAGTAGAGAGAGAGCGCGCGAGAGAGGGGTTATTCTTGTGTAAACCTTGTGATTAATGAGTATATATATAAATTTCATGCTTGTCAATAAATTATTTGGTGGATCTTTCAGTCTATTCTTTCTTCTTTTCTTCCTAAATTTGTAAGGGAAAAGATACAGCAGCAAAAAGCAAGCCTTTCTCTCCTTCTGAGAGCTTTTCTCACCGGTGTGTGACTGTCCTCCACTTCGTTTTTCCCGCAGCCGCCGACCCTAGCTATGGTCAGGGTCGGTGGCAGTTCTTCTCTTCTCCTTTCTCCTTTTTCCTTTTCTTTCCTTCTCCTTCTTCATCTTCCATTTACCCCCGCCCAGTGGCCTGTTTGCCACTCAACCTCTTGTGCATCTGCTTTCTTTGACTTCAGTCCCTTTTCCAACTTCTCCCATTTCTTCCCTTCTTCCACTTTTTCCCTTTGCTTCCTTTCGTCTTCCTTCCACCTTTTCCACTTTTTCTCCGTCTTTCCACCTTTTCCCCTTTTTTTCTTTCCACCTATTCCCCCTCTTTCCCCCACGTTCCCCAATCCAGATCGGCTTCTTCCTTCTTCAACTCCATAGTCCGGCTTGGCTCCTACTTTTTTTCAACGCGATTTTTTGCGCTTCTCCCGGAAGGTGAGTAGAGCTTTGGCTCGGGTGTTCACACCACTTCCTTTAGTTTGCCTTTGTTGACACTGTTGCTAGTGGGGTTTTTCCCACTAGCTTCCTTCCATTTGTGGCAGCTACTGCTGTGGTGTGCTGTGGAGGAGTTTGGGGCTCTATTTTGGGGTCCTGTTGTAGCTCTGTTTTCATCCAACTTTGGGGCTCTAGTTATTTTGATTTCAGATGGGTGCAGGGGATGTTCGTTCGGCTAGCGGATTGACGGCGGAAGTAGGAAGCTGCTAGCGTTTGCTTTGGTGTTTTTCCTGTTTACTATGGAGGTCCATCTTTTTGTTTGTGTTTATTGTATTTGAGCCTTCTCTTATATAATCTGTTATGTTATAAATAAAGTAAACCTTTGACCCAAAAAAGAAGAAGATACAGCAGCATTAGGCTGTTTCTACAAGTGAAACATTATGCAGTGGATAGGGATTGAGTCTCCCATTGTCCCTGCTGCTTGGCTTTCATACATATTCTGAAATTTACCTTTCAGACGAATTCTTGGCTTTTCATATAACGAATCCGAAGGCAAAGCTGTTTCCCTAGCAACCCATTCGACGTCATGTCTGTAACGAATCCGAATGCAAAGATGAAATGATCTAAAGAGAATCATGCAGACACAAAAGAACTTCAGGTTCAGCCGCCAAATCCTGGTAAAACCTACTCGAGCCGCAACGCACAATACAGATCGACCGTATAATGGCGTAAAGCGGCAGATTCATACTGAAAGCAATGGTAAAAACTCTCCTAGAGCGATTGGTTAATGTATGTACTATGAAGTATGAACTAGAACCAAATCCTTGTGGTCAACCATTATTATGTAATTAGATTTGTTTAGAAACCGAAGACTTAATTAATCATATTTAATCATGTATTTTAGAACCAAACCCAATGGGTGAACTCTACAAATAACACCAATTTTAAAGTCTTGGATGGTTGAATCCGGCAGCCAATAATGGCTAATAATATTTAAATAAAAAAAAAATTACCATAACAATCAGCATGCACTATTAGTCTATGATTATGTCATCTAAAATCAGCCTAATTAATTAATGATTAGGGTTTCAATTATCCATCCAAATATTTGAACAAAGCTTGGTTGCTTTAAAACAAGCAGGAGCTTCTGCTTTCATCCAATAACAACTTAACAAGTATCCAAAAAAATAAAAATTAAAACTTGAACTAACAACTTAGACACTTGTCAAGTTGTTATTCGAAGAGAAGAGAGCATGATTTTCTGCTTGTTTTTAAGCAGCCAAGCTTTGTTCCAAATATTTTACTTAATTTTTCACCAACTTGCCAATAGAATAGTAATTATATATTTATAAACAATCTTTGACCTAATTGACATGCATAAAATGATAACAATGCTTTTTCACTATGGGTAAGCATAATTTTGTTACTCTTTTGTAACTTCTTTGCTCTTTCTTTCATTTCCTTTCCTTCGCTTCAATCCATGTGAAACTCATGCTTTTAAGTTTTTAGAAACGTTTGAAGCTATAAATACATTCATCGTGCTCATTCCAAACAACGTAAATCGACTTTGAGTTTCGGGGCACGTTTCTCTTCAATCCCTTGCCGAATCCGACGTCAAGAAATTGATCAAACCGTTTTGGTTATTGAACTTTCCGAGCAAGCTGCTGCGATGGATGTTCGTCGAGAGGTTGCTGCTGCCGGCGGGAGCAAAAGGATGCAGAAGGAAAAGGAGAATACAATGAAGAAACAGATGGTGAACCGGAGGATGAATGCGGCAGATGATCGGGAAGTCGACGTCAATGAAATGGCTGATGCCTTCATCAAAAAGTTCAGAAACCAGCTCAAGATTCAAAGGGAAGAGTCGTTCAAACGGTTTCAGGATATGATTGCTCGTGGAGTTTGAAATATGTCTTTTGTTACTTGTTTGGAACAAAAATAACTAAAATTATTTGTGTCGTGACATTGATATATTCCAGCAAAATAAGAAATTTGATGTCCGTTCCGATGAATTTGGAACGTTTCTAAAGATTATCATGGCCCCCTGCACAAAGATGTCAAAAAAGAAATAGATGATGGATTAATGGAACGAGCGATGTTTGATTACTCAGATGAATAGGAACTCCTACTCAAAATTCTTCGTATTTGATTCACATAACTTTATGCTTATAATCGGAACAGTTCATATTATAAATCACTTTGTATGCTTCTACCATTTTCGTCCATTTGTGATTATACAATTCGATGACTAAACCACCTTATTTTTAATTGATTTTTTTGCAGACATCATCTTTATACTGATTTATACAGTTCTAATAAAAAACACGAAAGCCTATGAACTAGAAGCGAAAAGTTTTGAGTATGGGCTTCTACTCATCCTTTGAGTAGCCAAACATTATTCTAATGAAAAAAATATATTGAATGATCTCTAATGACACATGTATATTCACAAAAGCATCTCTAAGATTACATGCTACTAAACATAAAATCCCCATAGCACAAGACAAAAAGGCCTAGACCAATATAACTAGATTTACACATTTATCTGCTCTCTCTTGATCATGAATGTAAAGAAATGGCCTCATAAATCTTTTTCCGAGGCCAACAACCTCGAAATTCTATTTCCGAAACCAGTATCGCCAGTCACATACCAGATCTCTTGCAAGAGATGACCGCCTTGGCTCTACAGATGCACCAACAATGCTTCTCATCTCAACTCTTGCTTCACACAAAGCATAAGCAACACCGACGCCAGTTCTCAGCTTGTCATGCTTGGAGCACTTGACAGTGTACAATGTGACTCTTCAAACCAGTTCGGCCTGCTATACTTGACCATAAATTGGAGACCAGAGTTCTGAAATGACCTTTACCGGCGATATTTTCCCAAAGCTGAGGGTTGCTTTCGACATGTTTATCTGGACTTGAAACATCAACTAAACTGATGCTCATGTTATTACGAATAATGCAAAGCTTCCCGTTAAGGGGAACAAGTGCAGCAGCCTCCAAAGCACGAGAACTCCCTAGATGAAGCTTGCTATCTATAAATTTGATCCATGAATCTGATACTCTATCATAGACCCTAAGCTTGCACCCATCACGGCACTCCAGAGCATAGAGCTGCCCATTTAAAGAAATACTCGGGTTGCGCCACCCAGCAACCAGCCCATCACTAATAGGGGTCCAGGTATTGGCTTCGGGAGTATAGGCTTCACTCATTACCTCACGGTGTGACCCAAGTCCTTTTAGGAACCACATTCCATCATGAACCACCCCAATAAAGGGCACCATAGCTGTGCTCATATCGGAAATAAAGCTCCACCGATTTTTGTTCGGATCATAAATTTCAGCAGAACGAAGAGTCCTTTGAATTCCTTCACACTCCCCACCGGCTACATAAAGACAATTATTAATAACACAAGAGCCAAAGAAATGGCGCTTCCGAAGCATATCTGGTGCCCTGTGCCATTTATTTGTCCGAGCACTGTAAAAAATAACCCGTCTCATGGATCCCTTCAATGGATCTTTTCCTCCAAACAAGTACAGGTGACAACCGCTAAGGACAGCACAACCAAAACCAAGCGCGGCAGAATACTCGCCAGGAACGGGTGGAAGGGGCTGCCAGAGCTGGTATGTAGGATCAAAAGCATGCCAAGAGATCCTTCCATCACGGTCTCTTTTGATAACATAAACCCATTCTTCTGCCATTCCAAGACTTTTTCTAAGTGAATAAAAGAAGTTTCCAGCTAGAAGGCGATACCACCTTTTGCAAACTAGACGGAGTTTTCTATGTTCAACACGGGGGACTCTGATTAAACAAGCAATTGCAAGATCATCAGGTAGACCAGGCAGGAGGGGTGGCTGGATTCTAGTCCTTTCCCTGCGTAAGTTTTTTCCCCTGTGCGCATTAGGATTGATATCAGGCTGGATGCAAATTTTTGATCCTGGGACAAACTTTCTTGCCCCTGCAACTGTTTTTAAGCCTGCATCTACTTTACAATAGCATGATACGGAGTCAACCTGCAAACCAAGGCATGACAGGATGCATGAGATAACCAAAGTAAAAGGTAAGTTAGAAACACCGAGGGGAAGCTAGTGGCCACGAGTCCGTGACATATAATTTGATGTGCTTATGACAACAGATATACGGTAGGTACGGATTTGGTGACATTATATGGGACTGCTTAGGTTAATAACATGATTTGCACCACTGAAATAAAAAACAAATCTGGGATGGTAACAAAAGTATAAAATACAAAAAAATGATAGTAGCAATTGAATCCTTTTCCACAGCACGAAAGAGGTGGAGGAGTTAAAGGATGTACGTATTTATCTACATATAATTTATCATGCAAAAAGAATGATATGGTTGCCCAACAAATGAACTACTCAAGCACTACAAAGCTATTGCTAAAATGCTAAAAACATGCTACAAGGACACTAAACAAAGGACTTTCATATGACACC